AAAGTCTCTAAGTACTCGTCCTTTGGCACCAAAAAGGTTTTTCTTAAACTAACTTCTTTGCCCGTTACGCAGTTTTAGGTGTCTCCTGAACAATTTTTTTTCCGAGTTGGTGTGTTTTCGAACTCACTGATTCAATTGAAATCATACGCGATGAATAGTTAGCGAGATTCTTCGGTTTCCGAGTAAGCCTGATTGTCACTGATGACTGAGAAAATGACTGCAGACGCGCTTAATTTGAAAAAGAGAGTTCTACAAAGTACGCAAATTGCGCTTCAAAGAGTGTATTTGAGCCTTTTTTTCATGTGTCTGTCGTGATTTTTTTGTGATTTTACCATGGGCAGTCTGCTCACTGAACTGCATCATAACGCTCAACAGCCCCGATTCTCTGAAGGAGTACCCATTTTAAAGAAAGTTTGTTAATGTTTCCCTTCCAATATCCAATAGAATTTTTTTTGTAATGTCATCTAAGATACATGGAACTTTTAAGGACAAATATTCATAACTTTCATTGTAAATAATTAATTTAGAAGGAGTTTCCTCACACTGGAAAAAAACACATTGGATCTAGAGTCCCAGACTCTTGAAAACATTGACAAGATACTCTTGATTCAATCAGATTTTTGCTTAAATCAAAAGGAAATCCGCTCAAATTAAGAGGCTTGGTTCTTGATTTAAGCAAAAATCCAATTGAATAAACTATTTAACACTATTTAATAAACTACTTATTAACTATAAACTATTTTTCTTGTCGATGTTTTTAAGAGTCTGGACTCTAGATCCAATGTGTTTTTTTTTTTCGGTGTAGCACGGCAGAAAATTTTGGCCTCAATTGGCCGAACACGGCCAAGGAGGGCACCGAATTTGCCCGAATTTTCCTTTTTGCTCTCTCATTTTGCTTCCACGTCCTTGTTTACACAGGCAAATACATACCAATGACTTTTAGGGACACCATGACACGAGGTGCGAACAATTTCAGGACTCCCTCAATTGTTTGCATGTCCGATATTGACATTCATCACGTGCAAATAGTTCTAGCCAGGCGTTGCCATTACGAAATCCAATGCCCCTTAATTTTGTGTGTCATGCAATTTAACCGTCATCCGAGCTCAAATGATACTTTTTTTGCAATTCAAACGTTGACATCACAAAACCCAGTGCTCCCAGGAATCCTTTCAAAAATGTATTTTTACGTTGGATCGGGTATAGCGTGTGTATCCGTTTCTCGTGACCGCGAACCTCGTTTTTGGGGCTCACAAAACGGATGGTTGGTGCTCAACGGGGTCATCGATGGGATTCAACCCATGCCTATAAGTTCTCGATAGACGATCAAATTCATGAACCAATTACCATCAAAGTGTCGGGAGTCATCAGTCTTAGACTCATTAATTTGCTTAACTTTAAAATGAAATCTTGGCAGAAATGTTTCCTGAGGCAGGAAATGCTGAATGGTGGCACTCCATTCTGATCTTACTTTGAACAAAATAGCGCGGCCCGTCAAAATTTGATGGTAGATGGTGACCATCAGTCATCAGCATGTCTACTTTGATCGGAATTGGTTCGGAATTTGATCGTCTATCCAGGGCTTATATACTGCTGTGCTAAGGAAAAACGCCGTATGAACTTTCAAGCGTTGCCAGATTTCCATTTCCAAAACACGAATTTCCTGGTAAACAAATAAATATTTTTCTTTCAATTTCTCAGATAATGTTGTTTGCATTATCATCTGAAGTTCCTGACGATTTAAAGGGAAAATATTCATAACTTTCCTCAAAAATAAACATTTTATCGACGGAAATTTGGCAACTCTCGAATGTTCATACGGCGTTCTTCCATAGCATGGCAGTATACAAAAGGCCAGTTTTCGTGAGTGGCTTTGCTCGACTTTTTCGTGTCTCTGACTTTTTCAATCAGATCGGCAGGGTTTCAAACCTAAGAGAAAAACAATCTACTGGAGTCAAAAATTAAATTCAATCCGTAACCAATTTTAGCCAACGTTTGCATCCATCCTTTTTCTGATCCACCGCGGGGATTTGGTTGAGAATTTCGGATAAGATGCCAGCCGGCATGCTGCTTGCATGGAAACCAAATTTTGAAGCGCATCGTCGTCCGAGGGTATTTTCATTTTCTTGTAACGGAGGCTGGCAGTAAGTTAGAAACCTTGGGCAAATCTAGTAGCGGCAACTCGCCCTAGGGGTTTGGTGAATCTGACGGGAACTTCTGTAATTGGTAAAAATTGGTGGATGGGTCTGTCACCCGACTGATGGCGCCAATGTCAGCAATTCCGGCAGATTTGATCGGATTGACGCAAAAATTCGCTTCAAGAGAATCTACGGTCTGCGGTCCGCGGCCCATCCACCACATGGACGGATCCACGGGATGGTGGGGGGGGGGGGGGTAGGGGGCATTGCATCCCGTTTTCCCGAAAATAAGTTTGAAGAAGAAGGGAACGAAGGAAAGAAGAAGTAAGAAAACTCAAACCTGTTAATTATTCATGACGATATTAGATGCTTTTAAATTTCGAAAATTTTGGGTGGAGAGGCCCCCAGTAGACTGATTATTGAAATTGATAGATAAAGCGATAGACAAAGAAGACATAGAGAGTAAGAAGCGATCCCATAGGTGGAAACGGGTGGCTCTCATGGACTAAGGGAGAAAATGATGAACTAATTATCGGGCCTCTCGTGGGTTGCCGTTAGTTAGTCTATCACCCACGTCCTTTGTCCATTGCAACCACCCGCTTCCACCAATAGGATCCCTCCAAATCTCTTTTGTCTTCTTTGTCTATAGCTTTGTCTATCAATTTCAATAATCGACCTGCAGACCCCTCTTGCGCTTACTCAGTTTAAAGTGTCTGGATCTGCTTATGATCCACCCCAACAGTACTCTACTCACTTCAGGACTAAAAAATAGAATTAAAAACCGCACGATTTGGCAGGTCCACGAGGGACGCGCCAGTGGGTCGCTGGACGGACACGAACACGGCAGACGCAAGGCCATGAAATGCAAGTTGATGACAGGCCACAACCCCCGGACCCGAACGCAGACCACGATCGATCCCCCCCCTGGTCCCCCCTAGCCCCCCGCCCCCGCGGAATGCAGTGCGCCACTGAATCGGCGGCGAAATGCGATCTAATTTTACGAGCCCCCTTCCTCCGGTAGCCGGGCAATTGTGGGTCAACCCGGTAGTTACCCGCCGTGTCCCCGTCCTTGGCGACATTGAGTCCGAGAGGCGACAGTCCCGGAGGGGTGCAAAGGGCCAGGGGTGCGAAAGTCGCCTTTGGGAAAATCCAGTAAAAGTAATATCTACGAATAAAACGCTGAAGTAGGTTCAACCTTGGATTTAGACGATCGAGTGATAAAATTGATGCATCCACGTGGAGGTAGGAGATCTGCATGACGGAGAGACTCTCCAGCGGATACAGCCGTCCGGAGAGTCTATTTGGTGAGATAATGCACCAAGAATGTAATAAAATTGATGGAATTGAGAGTAGTTCTTTGGGTCCCCAGTAAAGATAAAACAAAATGAAAGTATTCAAATTATCTACAGAGGTACGGAGGATAATGAGCGATTATCATTACTACGGTATTATGTATCGCTTCTTTTATTAACTTTATCGGTTATATTTATCAAATTTTTGTTGAAGCTTTTTCTTGCCGATTTTTCCTAAAATCATCAACAATTTTAGAAAAATCGTTAAGGAAAAGTTTCTACAAAAATTTGATTACTACGGTATTACCGGATTGTGCTGTGGTACACTTTTCTCCTTTACCTGGATTCCCGGTACAGGAAAAATCTTCTCTCCCAACTGGCTGATCGCTGAAATTTATAGACAAAGCCATAGACAAATAAGACAGAGACGGAGTATGGAGCGATTCTATTGGTTGAAACGGATGCTTCTTATAGTCTGAGAGGATAAGGGATGAACTAACTTTAGGGCCTCTCGTGAGTTGCCGTTAGTTCGTCCATTACCTACCACCTGTAATTCGAAAATATTCTTGTGCCTCTGACACTGTTATGTTGTTTGACTTTTACCAGAAAAAGTTTGCGTCTCCGAAATTAGAGAAGCCTCTTTAGAAAAAAATGGTGAAAATATTCCTCACAATAATCATTTTTAAGAAAGTTCTTTTTCAAGTGTACGATCTGATGTAATAGCATCTAAATTAATAGACTACACCCATTTCACTAAGACATTTTTCGAGATATTTATTCTCGAGGAGATACACTTTCATCGTGCAATTGAAATTGTCAATTTCGGATTTGAATTGAGTACATTCTAGATGAACCGGAAATTTGTGGTAGTATTTTGTGGATTTTAATGCAAACTTGGTGGGACTCTCGCTTTAAAATAGTATAGGGTACCCGTTTGGTTTTTTAAATTTTTTTGTATGTCAAAACTTAGTAAGCAGAATAGGATATTTAGGAATGGAAGAGTTTCAAAGATTTGGTTACAGAATTTAGAAATTAGAAGTGATGAAATTGATGGATTCCATACTTTTCGCTGAATTTTTTTTTTTAAAAAAAGTTCTATTCTATAGAAAATTTTTAGTGTGAAACTGTCCCAAGAGACTCTCACATTTTGATCGCACTAATTTAGTTAGGTTTAGAAATGTTACACATTCTCTACACTTTTCCTTCGACGATGCATCTTTTCTTCTTTTTTTCTTTCCCTCTCGGACTCCCGCCCTCCCCCTCTCGCCCCCCTCGCACTCCCTCTCTGCTCCTCTCCTTGGATTCCGACTTAAACCATCCGAATATCGTGAGTCATGGGATGATACAACTATTCAAGCTTCCGTGTGTTGCACAGTATCCCTCTCAATTGAAGGCGTTTTATCTTTCTTCGAGCCAGGCTTTCCTTCTGACCTTACTTTACTCCTCATTCCTCTATTTCTCTCTTCGCTTCTCTCCCCCTTCCTTTCCCCTCTTTCTCTTCTCCTCTTTCCACGTGTTCCTCTTCTTTTTTGAATGTATATTTACAAATATTTTATTCTTTATGTTTCAGCTCTGATGAATGTTTGCTTGTCACTGTTAGCAATCCTCGGCCTGTTTGTCAATCTTTTAGTTCTCATTGTTTTTTATAGACGACCAACGCTTCGATCACCTTCAAACAGGTATTTTTGCCTATCTTCCTATCTTTCTTTTTTCCTCATTTTTTCCGCCGTGGCAGTAAATTATTTAATGAACTTTCTTATTATGATTTTACTTCCCTTGCGTACAACTACTTTGTACTAGACGTACAGACTATTATTGTCAGAGTTTCAAGATTATTCTCAAGCTGATTTCGTTTTAATGTAAAGAGCAAAAGGCACGGATCTTGGAAATTAATCCGCCATCAGATCAGCAAATGTGAAAAAGCTAATGATAATAAGTTTCAAAAATGCATAATGAAACTCCTTTTAAACCAACTTGATCCATATTGCCTCTACTGGAATTTTGGAAAAATTCACAATTACATTACACCCTAAACAAATTCCGAGTCTAAAAACCGTTTTCACAGGCTCCATTAATGACGTTTGATCCGGATTTAAATCCCCATTTGAAGCTGTGGTAAATAATCGATTATTCAGGTATGCATTGCAAACACCTTGTTCATCGATCCTTTCCATAGGTTTAAATAGTAGATCAATCGATATGTCGCAAAGTACGCAAAGCCCTTACTTTAGAAGAACCCTTGAACTACAGTATCGTATCATGGGCCAGGTTACATAGTTATAAAGTTTGCCGTCATATTTAAACTGAAATGAGAGTAATGTAAAGTTTAAACGCATTTGACAGTTTATTTTATAACTTTCAGATTCGCATTAAAAATTGAATTCTATCTTGTTCCACATCAAATTGAGGGCACGAGCATTTGTTATTTTAACCACGACTGTACTTTGTCCATCAGCCCATTAAAATAACAAACTCAAATCTGATGGCCGAAAGCTAAAGCCCCAGCTGAAACGTTTTAAATCACATTACCCTAGTTTAATAAAATGTCTTCAATATTATCATACGTAATATGAACTAAAAGTTTTCACCTCAACTTTGGAATCGAGGTTGTGAAACAACGCGGTGTGGATCGGATATCCGTCGTGGGACTCAGGTGCAAAATTTGCGGCAGCACAAGACTTCGCAGCCCCGCGCTATGCTTTTTGCGGCTGGCGGGCTGTAATTTATCTAAATTAAGGACCATGGCGGGATCCAATATGCACATAACGGCGCAAAGAAAATAAATTATAAATGTCGCAGGAACTCTCTCAGAACGAAAACCTTGCAAAAACACCCCATGTTAGGAGTTTGTTAATTTATTCAAAATGCAAATTTGCCTTTGCGCCTCTTTTGATAACGCGTCTAAAAACAATGTTTCCTTAGTTATGCGCGGAATAATGAATTGAATAAAATTCTCGAAGGAGCAAATATTAAAAGTCACTGGGGCGCATGTACCCTCATTTTTCCTTTGTCCCTGAGCGCTAATGGGAGGAAGTTGGAATCTTAGTAGTATTTGTCTTTGAATTAATTCGAAATGTCATCTGTGCAGCGCAAATTAATTTATTGATTCCATTTCTGCATTAGAAAAAGCACTACCTAGATAAAAGAGTAATCTTAAAAGGACGGGTTGTTATTATGGACCGTGTGTAGCAGAAAGGAACCAAAGCAACATGAGCTATTGTCAAATTTAACTGGACAATTGAATTTTTTTTTACATGAGAACATTTGTTTGAAAATTTTAAGGAATTCACTTCGAACTATGCAGAAAATTCCCGGGAATGTGCACGAAAATCCGTGCAATCGTTCTAATGAAAAATATTAAATTGCCTAGTTAAATTTGGCCATAGCCAGAAAGAAATGTTAAACTGACGATTAAACAATGAACAAATCGTGCGCAACAGCGCAAAGTGTACTCAGCGCCTTCAATTCTACGTGATGCAGAACTACACGCAAGAGCACGAATAGTTATCTACTCGACGCCTGCATGCCCACTCAGTTGGAAAAATGAGGCTCATTTCCCTATTATTTTGGCTAGGTCTTTGCTCCGCATTTGTGTTTAAAAAAAATATAACTAACATGCAGATCTTTTAAATCGCCACGATGAACTCATCCTGATAAAAGCTTGTCATTGTATCTTATCTCTCCGCTTTAAAATTAGATTTAAGTAAATATCTTAAACATTATTCAGTCGTGCTGTGAGAGAAGACCTGTTACCAAATTTTTTCGACGATCTATTGCTTTAAACAAGAATTTATGAAGCTTACCCTCGAAAATTTCAAATACGCTATCAATTGAATTGGGAGGGGCATTCTCTAAAAAAAACTCTAAGAAACAAAATTCGATTATATTTCTCATATTTGTTTTTTTTTTTCAAAAGAATTTTGACAATATGTCAATGCTTTTACGGCATTTTTTTCGAATCATGCATTGTCGGATCCAAACACTTTGAACGAGTAGTGGGCGGAGGGGATGTCCTGCAGGAGGAGAGTGGGACCTTCCTCAGAAAATTTTGGAAATATTCAAGCAACTAATATGCACTCTGAGTTAATTTCGTCATAAATAATTTACCAAATATAATTGCGTCGTTTTTCCCTCTTTGCTCAATTTCTCACTTCTTTCTTTCACTCCATTTTCCTCATATTTTTTCAGACAAACGGGAGGGGGGGGGGGGGGGTGATACACCCGTGAAGCCCTTTTTGGATCCGCCTATGTCGTCATGATATTATGATAGTTTTAGTTAGAGTGTTTTTGCGTTTGTACAAATGTTTGTTATGTTTTTTCAGATTTGTCGGTAGTCTGATAATGGCGAACCTTCTGTCTTCGACGGTGCTGGCACCGGTGCTCCTGTCGGACAAGTCTTCCGTCTCAGCTGGTCTGAGTGCCCTTGTCGTAACCTCATCTGTGTTCTCAATAGTCGCCATCGCTGTCGACCGCTATAGCGCGGTTCTTAGTCCGCTTCACTACGCCAACACCATTAGCAGGAGACGAAGTTTAGCCAGTGAGTATAGTACTATAGTATACCATGGTCATTCTTTGAACAAAACCCCTGAGGGAGTCCCATTGGTTAAAGTTAAAAAATGATGGTTAAATAATGCTAGGCAACAATAAAAACACACTAAAATACAAAAAACAAATGGGTATACAACGCTAGAGGAGACATAAAACAATCAGGACGTTTCGGGCCAATTACACGCCCATTCTCAACTGGAACAGAAGCTAAAAAGTTGAGAATGGGCATGTAATTGGCCCGAAACGTCCTGATTGTTTCATGTCTCCTATAGCCTTGTATACCCATTTGTTTTTTGTATTTTAGTGTGTTTTTATTGTTGTCTGCATTCGGGCTATTATTGTGTGCCTCTCTCTCTTATCAATAATGCTAGGTTCACACTATTTTACGGGGTAAAACAAGGTCAAAAAGTTGAAAAATTTCAATCGAAGTAAGAAATTTTGAGCTGTAATGAGCTCTCATTTTTGAGTCTAATTGAAAATTAGGAGTTTTTTGGCCTAGTTTTTCTCGCAGAATAGTGTGGATCCAGAGCCATTTTACTATCTTCTTACATACAGTTGGGGCCTCGTTTCTTAGTGTTTTGTTTTCGTTAAAAAATGAGTACCTCCAATTGTGACGTTTTATAAATCTCCGATCATGTTTCATTTTTTGAAGGAAACTAGCCGACACATCCTCGTGAAATTTGGTAAACTAAAAAAATATGAACTGAATGGTTGTATTTAAAAAATCCTTACATAGCAACGATTTTTAGGATTACTTTTTGAACACTAGGGAGTCTTAAGAAGATAGCTGTTTAAAAAAAGTATTCTCAAAATGTTTGATCTAGAAAACTTTTTTGGGGTATTTTTTAAGTAAAATTTACAAGAGGGTTAAATTTGAGTACGTATGAAGAAGAAGTTAAAACAACTCTTAAAAAATAAGAAGTAGTTTTTGATATTTATAAAGTCAGAAGAAAAGGTCAAAAAGATTGTAAGCAGGTGGCAAGTTATTTCAATAGCCATTTTTACATACATCTCACCAGACTTACATTTACCTTTTTAAAAAAAAAACCACAAAAATTCTCTATTAAACTAACTTTTAACAGTTTTTTATTTTTTTTAAAAAATTGCTGTTGAAAGTTCATTGCTAGTAGAGATCCCACATACAGTTTTACGTATACACTGGAAAAAAAAACACATTGGATCTAGAGTCCAGACTCTTAAAAACATCGACACGAAAAAATACTCGTGATTCAATCGGATTTTTGCTTTAATCAAGAACCAAGCCTCTTAATTTGAGCGGATTTCCTGTTGATTCAAGCAAAAATCCGATTGAATCAAGAGTATTTTTTCTTGTCATTGTTCTAAAGAGTCTGGACTCTAGATCCAATGTGTTTTTTTTTTTTNAACTTTTAACAGTGTACTGTGAGAACTCTTTTACACGTATTCTTAAGTTCTTTTAAATCACATCGAATATAATCTACATTCTGCGGCACTATCAGATACTTTCAAAATGAGGGGTTCTGCATCGTTGCTAAAATAATGATAAAATGACGCGGGTTAATCAACGCTTCGCCGAAAAGTCATCTGCCATCACCATCCATCAAATCCTGCGCCAAGCTCGAAAGGCACCCGATGATTGATGCTGTGTTTAGAGCCGGCTCGAATTTCAGAGGGTAAACTGTTTGTTTGCGTATAATTAGCTTGCAGGCAAAACTGAGCTTGGATTTTGGACACTTCAAACATTTAAGCTGTTTCGAGGAAGGACATTTAATTTGCGGAGAGTCACTTTCAGATATGGTGTTTAACCTAAATTATCCATAATCACCGGTTACTCGGGAAACTCGTTACTTTATTGATGCAGCGACTTTTCAAGCTGTAAAATGACGTAATTACTTGTACAATTTAATGCCTCCCTTCCAACTGTAAGGAGTAGCAGTTTTGCTGAAAAATGATGAAATAAGGTATTTTTAGAGGCCTGGACGATAGCAACTTTTCAGCCTTTCTCACTTTTCAAATAGTTTCAAAGTAGCTCTACGAATTCAAATACTGCGAAGTTACAAGTAGTCGGAAGTTTGAACCGAAAGTTTGAGCGACCGTCGAAAGCTCTAGATTTCCACGAATATTTCTTTTTGGAAGAATATCACTAGCACCGTTTACGCTTAAACGTTATGTTGCCAGCCTTATTATAATGGGACACTAGATAGATTTTGAACAAGGAAAAACTTGCATGTTTTTTCTTCAGATTCTTACGAAAAAAAGATTTACACAGCGAGACGTTCGGAGTTAATTTCTGAATGAAATATGTATCAAGAAGGATCAAATTGAAGTTAGATGACACAAATGGCGTGAGTATTTTTGCCATTGAACGAATGTTAATGGTAAAAACTTCATTATCTCGTACAGGTGTTGATTTTACGACCACTCGTTGTGTGATCCGTTTTTAACCTGAAATTTTGTTACATGGTACTTCAATTCATAATTTTCTAGAGGTGCATTGTTTAAAGTCTTTTTATTTTGAACGTTATTTTTATAACTTTTGCCCATTTCTGCATGGAAATTTCAAGAGTGATCTTATAACGAGCGAAACACCTCGACGGATTGAAACTGAAATCAGCTTAACTACATCAGACGTTCCCAAATTATTCTCAAATTGACTTTTCTTACCAGAAAACTATAGGCAGTATTTTGACTTTACATTTCAAAAAATAGCTATTCACAATCAAAAGAACATGTAGGGAATATTTCAAGGCGTTGTGTTCTTCATAGTTCTGTGTTGAAAAAATGAAACATGAGAAAAAGTTAGGTAACGTGAAATGCATGCCTTTGTTGAAATCCATTCATTTGGTGAGCTTTTTAATGATTCTGTTCGTAAGTTTGACCCGGAAAAGACGAGGTTTGAGGAATTTGACAACATAGTGCTTAAGCGCAAATGACGCCTTAGATATGGGAGATTCCTAGACATAGGCCGTCGTCTCCCTCAAAATAACGTAACTGTATTTCAATGTTGCCAAATTTTCTCCCGCGGGTTGCGTTTTTACCAGGAGAAGAATGAGCCTTTCTGACCGAGAATTTCACAATATTTTCTGCTAATTTCTTGCAAAAATCAGGAAATTGTTTGACAAACATTGTACAGGCACATTTTTGTGAAAAATCAAATTGTTTGAGTCAACTTTACAACCTCAAAATGGAGTTACGTTACTTACTCAGGGAAACGACGAGTCGCGGCGGAGGTTACGCCCGACAAGTTTTTCGCGTACTTTTCGCGAATCTCGGGAACTTTCGCCAACTTTCGCGGCTTTGTTTGCCCGTCGCGGATGAACCGCGAAAACCCGCGCGGAGTTCCCGCGTCGAAGGCCGTCGCCTTAAGCTCCAAACTTTCGTGGGACGAGTCGCCTTCGAATTAACAGTTATGTTTACTCGCTCCGATTCGATTTCAATTACAGCAGCCAGAATTTCACCCCGGACTTCCGTTTTCGCGCCGTAAATTGAATTCAGTTTGAACGATTTCTCGAGTGCGAGAAATTTGGCAAAGCTCGGTGGTGTGTTATGCCTGCTAAAGTACCGTACAACTTTTGCGCGGACTAATTACGGTAAAACAAACATTGTTGGTGTTTTACTATCAAACTCCTCTATTATTCACCCTGTAGTTACAGTAATAGTTACAGTAACGTAATTACGTTCATAGGCGGATCCAGACACTTTGAATGGGGGAGGGGGGTCCGGGGAGCTTCCCACTGAAACAAATATGGTAACATTCACTGTGAGTCTATTTGATTTTTTACACAGTGATACTATTCTATGAAAATAACCAAAATTATAGTATTATACACCAGAGCTCTAGTGATTCTATTATCATAATATGGTGAATGCCATGGAGTCTGGTGTTTATTACCATACTCGTATCACCGTGCCAGGGTATGGTAAAATCTACCACATTCTTTTTTCAGTGGCCATAACATTTTCGAAATTTTATAGCATCTAATGTACAATATGAGCCACTATTGGACTGCATTTTGCAATTTGGAGCTATTAATTCTAACTCATCTGGACAAACACTTATGTGCATAGGGAAACTGATGACACATAAGTTGTTTTTCAACCGGGTTAGAATTTATAGTTCCAAATTGCAAAATGAAGTCCTATTATCACAGATAAATACCAAATATAAAAGTCCTTCATTCTTATTTCGTCCGTCCCTTCCTTCTTTCTTTCTTTCTTTCTTCTTCCTCCTTTTTTTCCGTTGAACGGGAAGAGGGGGGCACGCTCCCTACGCCCCCCTTCCTTTGGATCCGCCTATGGATACTATTACGTTCTTGCGCTGCTTTCGAAGTTTTGTTGACTGATATTATTGCCTTGTAATTTTTTTAATTGTATTTATATTTATGAGCAGTTAATTATCGTTGCCTTTCTTCCTTTTCCTTGCAGTTATTCTCATGTCGTGGAGTCTGGCTATTCTTCTATCCTCACCATACGTGCTCTTCCAGTGCGCTGCGCCTATATTTTGGCAAACGCATTCCATGGTGCTTCTAATAGTTGGTTTCACATTCCCACTCATGGCGTTAGTCATCATATACTCCAGAATGTACACTGCCGCACACAGGTAAATGGGTAATCTTCTTCTCTTCTGTTTTGTGAAATGATCTTGCTCAGTGAGATATTTATACTATAAAATTAATGAAAAAAAAGTCTTGGAAAAATTTCAATTTTTTGGGTACCTTACCTTTACCTTAAGGACTTGACAAAAATCCAACGTTTAAACTCAAATTAGCGGCGAGGGAAAAAAATTGAGCCAAGATTTGTTCTTTATTTACATCAAAAGTGGTTTTTTAATTTTTTTTTTTTTTATATTGCGAATGCCACTTATCGAAACCCTCCCATTTTTCAACAAATCAACGTGAAAAGGATTTCAGTAAGTATTCTCACCTATTTTTCTCCCCTGAAAATTCGGATCGAGCAAATATTTGCCTTTTGTCGGATCAGTCATTTATGCCTCAAAGAGAAAAATATTCGCATGGGACTTGTTAGAAGTCAGTAATTTGCACCAAACGTGTCCCACAATAAACGCGACCGATTTTTCTACCATGCATAGCGAGAACGCCGTGTGAGCCATCAGGAATTGCCTTACTTCCCCAACAAATTACGAATTTTCAGGAACATTTGTAAATATTTCTCCTACGCTTTGATACAGGATTACGTTCGTAATTTGATCTAAATAGTCTTAAAATTTCAAGCATAACTATCCAAAAGTTCCTTCAAAAATGAATATTCTCTAAGGAGAAATTTTGTAACATTCAAATGCCTATACGGCGTTTTTACTAAGCACGAAAAATTTGTGAAAACTCTCCGTTTTAATACAGGATTACGTCCGTAATTTGATGTAAAAAGTCTGAATGTGATTCGTAAAGCTCAATTGACGTGGTCGAAATGGCAAACGATATATCGCATTGATTAGGTAAAAAATCTCGGCAGATTTTGAATTTTCAGCAAAAAAAGGACGATAGCCCCTGTACATGAGCCTAAAGAATCATTCTCAACCCAAAAACCCGCAAAATTCAAAGAAATGAAAGCAGAATATTGTTTGGAAAAAAACCTTACATTCGATTCAGCTATCGATTTCTGTATCGAATGCGAGGTTTTTTTCAAACGCTATCCTACTTTCATTTCTCTGAATTTTGCCGATTTTGGGGTTTAGAATGATTCTTTAGGCTCATGTAAAGGGGCTATCGTCCATTTCTTTGCTAAAAATTCAAAATCTGCCGAGATTTTTTACCTGATCGATGCGATGTATCGTTTGCCAGTTCGACCATGCCACTTGAGCTTGACGAATCACCTTAAAATTTCAAGGATTAATATTCAAAACTTCCTTAAAAAATAAATATAAAAAAATAAATAAATTTGGCAACATTCGGATGCTTATAACGCGTTTTTACTTAGCACGGGAGTCCGACAGTCAGTCAGTCATGGCGTCATTAATTTTTACGGCGTCACCAGTATTTGCAAATTGGCCATCGGGGAGGGCGGCAGCGAGCAATTTTCCCTCGAAATTGATCGGAATTCATTTTCACAGGAGACCTCGTTCCACCGCGATCGCTCGGAAAAAAACAAACACCCCCCTTGTCTCACCCCGCATCCTCGACGTCCACTTCTTGGCGGTGGTGCGTGATTAAAAGAGAGGAAAAAAATCAATGTAAGCCTCGACAATAGATTAGTGCTTATTGAGTTCGAGAGAGTGGTCAACGGTGTTGTCGATTCTGTTTTTTTTGAGTGCCAAATTTTTGCCAACAAAATTGAGGCGTTGGGTGCAGAAAGGGAATTGCTTGGTTGCGGTGTCTCAAAATTTACACTGCTCATTTGTTTGTCGGGAGGAAACCATTCAGTGAATTTTCTGAAATTTTGAGTTTGCTGGTTTTTGAAATCATTGAAGAAAATTCAGTAAACGTTTCGACAAATTCCATATGATTTGCTTTAATTATAATGGATAAAACGTTAACTGAGATTCTGAAACACCCCAACCGAGAAATGTCATCTCTACACTCAGCGCGAGAATTCTCGAGTCCAACCAAATATTTTGCTAAATAACACACACAAAAAAAAAAAAAAAAAAAAAAAAAAAAAAAAAAAAAAAAAACGGTAACCAAGCAGGCTAAAAACCAGAAAACATAAAGCCTGGGACGTTACGGGGTGGTTTAACCCCGCTCCTCAACCAGGAAACAACAAGTTTTAAACAATCATAAAAATCAAAATTTCTAGACCCCCTTTTCATGATAGCAAAAAGAGTTGTTTATATATTTTTGTTTCCTGGTCGAGGAGGGGGTTGAAAGCACCCCAAAACGTCCCGGGCTTCATTACCAGTTTTTTTTTTTTTTTAGTTAAATTATTCTGTTTATTTTTTTGTATTATTGCTATCACCAAATATTTTGTATCTAAAACAAAGTTGATAAAAGGGACAATTATTATAGGATTCGTTCGATAGGACTATGAACTTACAACAGTATTTGTCACCGGAGCTAATAATCTTGATCTAATTATTTGGAAGAAACCAAAATGCCTGACAGAAACAACATAAATGACCACAGAGCAGCAGTGAACTATCACCTGGACTCCTGCTTTAGATGGACTCTAACATCACAGGCTTTGTTGAAACTCGTACTTGGCAACTAACACGGTGAAAAAAGACAACGCGTAGAATATAAAATAAACATCGGTGAAGAGCAGGAAATTCCCGAGCCTCAATTTCGATAACGTCAGTCATAAAGAGGCGTTGCCAGATGATATCAAATCATTCAAGAAAATAATGTACATGATCGGATGCGATCGCAGCACTTCCTGACAACGGCGACTGAATGGAGAGAAAAATTATTCGGCTTAATTTCCAGCAAATGAAATTCAACGGCGCTCGCTGGCCATATTGTGTGACCCGAGTATGTAAATTCTGGCAGTTGCAATTCTGGGAGTACTTCAATTTTCGTCGATATAAAGTTGCCAAAAAAGTAGTATTCATTATTTGTGGAGAGGGATAAACCCCAATTGGACGCATCTCTGCCAAACGGAACTGTGTGCATTGATACATGAGCCCTGAGACCAATTAGAATATATGTGTAACAGGGCTCATGTCATAATGTACATAGCTCCGTTCGGCAGAAATATGTCCAATTTGCAAGCATGTCGAAAGCAAACCCCAATCGGATTCGAGTCAACAAAATTGTAAACATTTGAAATCAATTAATTGCCCCTTGTTATTACTGATTCGTACGGATGCCACGAAAACAGCCTCTCTCCCTAAACGTCATAAGAGAAATAATGTCAGTTACCACACTATTATACTTAAGTTACTTATCAGCCACCAGGAAGAACGCGACTGACTTCATAAGGAAGCAAATGTTCTACGAGAAACATTGCCATTTTAAGACCACCAAATTCCCGTTAAATGAGAGAATAGTTGTACATATTAACAACATTTGATACTACGCGCTGGGCGCCACCCCAGCGCGGAATCGCATCGGCTCCTACAAACCTAACTGGATACTTCACGCATTGCGCAATGCGTGAAGTATCCAGTTAGGTTTGTAGGCGCTGATGCGCATTGCGCGCTGGTTGCCCGCCCGCCGCGCCGCACCGCAGCGTGCCACGGCGCCTACCAAGTTTTGTATTTTCATTCGTAAAAGTACCTACTCCCCAAGTAGCAGAGTGCAATGAAAATATTGTAATAATAGCGATTTAATGAAATAAAATTGAATTTTTTCACCATGGAATTGCGATAATTTTGCATTATTTGGTCCATAAAAGCCGATTTTAAACAATCCAAAAAATCAGTTCGATGGACCAGAACGATAAGCAATACAGAGTGCATTACAAATTGAAAGTTATTTAAATTGTATTGCAATATATATCAACAGGTCGTGCGCCTTCAATCAAAAGATAGACAACGTACACAGTATTCTGATATAATATCAATAATTATATCATATAATGGAGATTTTGCATGTGTGAGGGATTTGCGATTTGACTGTTGATTCTTATGTAAAAGTTTGCGGGAAACACGATGGTGCCGCTGGTTTTCTCTGAAATCAACTCCCAAGCTTAAAAAAAGCTCTCAAGTTGAGGTCAAAATGGAGGGGATATCCCACGCTATCCTGAGAGTCCACCTCTACACCGAGACAAACTCTCCATGCAAAGATAGGGAGCAAATACATCAGCAGGGTTGCCGTGATTTCAGTTATAGAGTCCTCAAATAAGGTGGCAGCCCTGTCAATGTATTTGCTTCCTATCTTTGCATGGAGAGTTCGTCTTGGTGTAGAGGTGGACTCTCAGGATAGCGTGGGGTATCCCCTCCATTTTGGCCTCAACTTGAGTGATTTTTATGAACTTTGGAGTTGATTTCAGAGAAAACCAGTGGCACCATTTTGTTTCTCGCGAACTTTTACAAAAGAATTAATGGTCAAATCGCAAATCCTTCACACATGCAACATCTCCATTACCAAATATAAAAGTCCTTCATTCTTACTTCATCCGTCCCTTCTTTCTTTCTTTCTGTGTCTCCATTGCAAATTCGTTTTTTCCATGTACCTCGATTTTCCATTCGTGACCTACCCTATATAACGTGCTCTGGGGTTGTTTTTGTGCAGGAACAGCATGCGGACGCGTCGCCACAGCGTGTGCACGGAGGTGGACTCGGTGCACCGGAACTCGAACGCGACGTTCTCGGCGCTGCTGTTCCGGGAGGAGGGTCGCGCCGTGAAGACGGCCTTCATGGTCATCGCCTCGTACCTCTTCTGCTGGACGCCCTACTTCGTCTCCTCGACCATCGCCAAGTTCCACGACCGCGCCCTCGTCCCCGAGGAGCTCGTCACCCTCTGCATCCTCTCCAGCAGCCCGCTCAACCCCTTCGTCTACGTCTTCCGAAACGAGGTCAGTAGTCCCATCATCCCCCGACGGGGGCTCAGGGGTCATTAGAGTAACATGACAGAGAGAGTATGGACATAACACCCCATTACGGCCTTAGGATCCAAAAATGGTGGCTCTTTATTTTGGCGCTTGGTGATGAGCGGGGGGCTATCGCCGAATATTGACAATAATCACCAGCCACACTAGCTGCCAACAATCGAAAACACAGGAATATGCGGAAACAAGAATAAAATACATAATGAGCCACAAAACTAATACAAAATAATTTATTTTATGTTTTATAGCCTTGTTTCCGCATTTTCCGCATTTGTGAGTGTGCTAGCTGATACCATTCATTTGAGAAGAAGAAAAAGTCAGTTTGAATATCAAGTATAGTGATAAGTATACTACCTATTTTGTTTTACTTCTGAATTTTTACATTTTTTTTTTTTTGTAATCACAAACAGATTGCAATTTGCCGGCCATTTCTAATTGCCTGAGACAGAAATACTAATATTCGTGTTTTTTTCTCAGGTGGTCCGAAAGGAGACTTGTCATTTGCTGTGCTGGTGGCGGTCCAAAATCCAGACGCCCAAGCCACCGATGTTGAAGCACCAACCTTCCTCGCATTTTGACAGTATGTCAGTTCAAAGTTTCCACATGACGACCGGCGAGTGTCACCATTCTGTGGATACGCCTCCTCCTGCGGATTTCGTAGCTACTTACTATCCAGTAAGAATCTCTACCCGTTTCTAAACGATACAATTTCAAACATATATTTTTTAGACAGAAACGTGCGCGTGCGTTACAACTCAAAAAACTGAAAATCCCAACGCAGAGGGGAAAAAGCTCATTCTAAGCTATGGATCTTGTTGTATTTACTGTGCTATTTATTTAAACCAATCGAGATAATGAATGATTTTGGGAAGGGAAACTCTAAAGTGTTGCGTTTTCCAAATCGCTGATGTCCCAAAACTTTACACGTTAAGATAGGATTATTTATTTCATCCATCAAATATAAAATTCGGATGGAGGGAAAAGCTAAGAAAACTAAAATTACCAGAGGTAAAATTGTTCAAAAGGACTCCATGGTTTGATTATCTAAATCATAGCATTTAATCAAAGACTCAAATGCCAAATAAACCATTATATACACAATAAACACCAAAAATAATAAAATAATTAAAAACAAAATATTGTAAAAAAATGCTATTTGTTCTATGGTAAAACTAGCACTGTTTTCGTGTGTTACCTTTCCCAAAGCATTTATCGACGGTGAAACTACCAGACCACGTATCTCGTTTGCGGTAGTTGAAAATCTCCGCTCCAATTTTATTTTTTTGAAGGAGAGCGAATCAGTATCATTTCTTAAAACTTTCACAGAATATTCTTCGCATAGAGAGGAAATAACACGAAAGTTTTCAAGAATTGACGTTGAGCAGTTTTTCGTTAAAAACATAAAGCATGATAGGAAGTCTACAACGTCCTAAACCAGATACGTGGTCTGGTAGTCTTACCGTTGTTATGTTTTGTAAGCATTGTAAGCAATTAAACATTATCCCAAGCATTTATGTTGCGTTTCAAAGCGTGGATTTTGTCGCAATGAACTATCAAGTCTGTGGGTTTTACTGGGAACCGCTGAATTTTTCAACTGAAAAGGGCCTCATTGTGATGATTCTTCAAAGCAAAAAAAAAAAAAAAAAAAAAAAAAAAAAAAAAAAAAAAAAAAAAAAAAAAGGTTTCAGGACATTACGTCAAAAATTTTTTGTCTGGTCACCTGTTTCGCCCCTGCTTAAAATAAACATCCATTTCTCTACATTAAGCATCTTTTCAAATTTTCATTGGTGAATCCTTAAAATTTACGATATAAAATATACCTTATGAATGACTCCTTTTTTTTAAAATGTAAACGTTACTTCATTTTAAGAACATTTACATTTTTAAAACGTGGCAAATATTTGTAAAACCTTTTCCAAGCGATAGCATCGATATTAATCTCAATGAACCGTAGTTGTGTTGAGAGAAATTATACGGAAATGAATAAAAGAGGCGAAAAATCAAGAAGTACGCAATCTTTCGTTTTGATCCATTTGTACGTCAAATTTTTAACTCAAATACGTCCAATTTTGAGTGTTTGGTTACGCGTGCACCACGCTGTAACAAATGAAAGCACAAAATATAAAATGATAAATCAAAAGGCATTGAAAATCATTAAAATTTGACACGGAATCACTTTCATATTTACAAAACACACTTCAAATGTTCCTTGATGCATACTTTTTTTAATCAATTTAAAGTAGATTAATCTGCAAAGTTTGCAAATATTTCTAAATCATGAGTTGAAAAACGCTGGCTCCACAAGTTTAAATATTAGAACTAAATATTACAGAGTGGAGTGGCGTGCTGCCGGCGCGAAATACGCACTGGCCCCTACAAACCTAAGGGGCTACTTCACGCATTACGCAATGCGTGAAGTATCCAGTTAGGTTTGTAAGGGGCTACTTCACGCATTGCGCAATGCGTGAAGTATCCGGTTAGGTTTGTAGGCGCCGATGCGCTTTGCGTGCTGGGCGCCCGCCCGCCGCAGCATGCCACGGCGCATCAAACAGCTATTTCACAACAGAGGTGTTGCACAGTATCAAACAAAATTGATGGCGCTCTAAAATTTTAAGAATGGAAGGCATCCTTTAAGAGTACGGAGCTTTCCTCGCAAAATAAATCAATATACTACGGCACAAAAAAAGATCGGTAGTCCAGAAACTCACCAGGTCCTTACATTCGTATTTAATAACGCTTCACATAGTTTTTAAATTTGAAGAGAAAAAAGTGACCTGATTTAGGCAGACAAATCCTGGAGTATGCCGCCAATAAGACTTTACTTTGAATGAAAAATAAAATAGCTGAATGAAAGCAGGTTCCTGCTTGATGTAACTTTTTTTTACAGAAGCATCTTTTCTTCTTCAAACAAGCATTATTTTCTCTATTGATTCAGAAGGAGCCCTCTTGGCGATTAATTTGAGCATATTTCTGTTTGAATCAAGTCATTTTTTCCTCTAATGACGTCCAAAAATCACGAAGCAACACAATCTGTGGGTGAAATTTTTTGTGTAAGATTAACCTGTGTTAAATCGACCAACTTTTTTAATTGAAGCGACCAAAAAAATTCTGCGACATTCTTAAAATCAGGCGCCATCCGTCAGGATCAAACTCGGGTTGCACCGGAGATTATGTATTGCGTTAGCTACTACTCGCAGGTCACAACTTTTGAGTGACGGGGAGGAAAACACGAGTACTTAACTGACGTGCTAAGGAAAAACGCCGTATGAACATTCGAGAATTGCCAAATTTTCGCCGATAAAATGTTTATTTTGAAAGGAAGTTATGCATATTTTTCCTTGAAATTTTCAGATATTTTAGATTAAGCTGCGAACAATATAGTCTTACAAATTGGAATGAAAATATTCATAACTTTTCCAATAAATTCCGATTTTATCAAAGGAAACTTGGCAATGTCTGATGGCTCATACGGGGTTCTTCCTTAGCACGGCAGTTAAGTTCCACAGAACGCTTTCTTCTTGCCCCGATGTTTCAGAGTGTTCTACCGTTTGGTTAGATTTGAACCAAAATTGTGTGGAGAAACCAAGTCCTTTGCGTTGATTTGACTCAAATGGACTGCATTTTGCAATTTGGAGCTATACATTCTGGCTCATCTGAAAGAACACGTATGTGCATAGGGAAACTAATGGCACATACGTTGTTTTGAAACCGGGCCGGAATTTATAGTTCCGAATTGCAAAATGCAGTCCAAATGGTGATCTGACGGGATCACGCAGGGTTGCTCTGCTTCAAGAACTAAATTCTTCATCCATATTATTGAAATTAAGAAGAAACAGAGAAGATTCATTTTCTGCCCATGTTCGAATTAATTTAAACCTACCGGAAATTTTCCCGTCAAAAAAATAAATATAGCAGAAAAACAGTTGCCAATTAAAACTCACAGTGATTGCTATTTGCTACTTAAAAATCACAGTGATTTTTCACTGCGATCGCAATCACGGGCACATCTCTAGACTCAAAGAAGAGGTATGGCCTGGTTACACGATCAAATTCCCGTCAAATTCCGATCAAAATGATGACCTAGATGGCGGTCGAGAGTCATCTAGATTGATGAGTAAAATTAATTAAAACAGCGTGTTAATTGAAATAAGCATGAAATAAGCACGGTTGTGTGGAAATCAGATGAAGGATGAGCCCCATAGTTCCATCATCTACCATCAAATTTTTGCAGGCCGCAGAAATTTGATGATAGATGGTGCGCACCAGTCACCATTTGATCGGAATTTGATCGTGTAACCAGGTCATAACACAAAGTGACAGAGTAACACCAAACTCGGAAATATGCAACTGTGTTGGATTGTCCAGTTATCGATGACGAAAATATGTTATCTCTCTTCCAGGTAACAAAAGGTGAGACGCCCAAGTACGAAAGTGTGACGTTTCGGCTAGCTCAGCGGAGATGTCAGAGCTGCATTCGACAGAATTCAGATTCTTCCACCAACAGTTGTCAGCCTCTGCTCACGCCAGTCCCCAGAAGACAGCGCCCGGCGAGTGAGCCTTCAACGCCTAAACATTTGAACAACAACAATGATTCACTTGTTTTTAAGGTAGGGTTTTAAAAAAGTATTGTTTCTCAAAGGGAGGAGACAGGAGGACGCCTAGTAAAAGGGTGGTGACGGGGACTTTTACAAGCGATGAACTTTCTGAAGGGTTAAAATGAGGGTCTCTGAAGGGTCGTTGGAGGACGAGAGGCTGTGGTAGTGTCGTGGTTAGCCGTCACAGGGCGCCAGAGAGCTTTGTGAAATCAGCTCAACGTGTATTTCCTTCCGCACTGAAAAAAATTGTGTGCTTTTTCAGCACCTAGGATGTCAAAAATGTGTCTGGTGATCCTTACATGCTGTCATGATTGCCCGCGCAATTGAATTTGCATTCACAGGATGTAAAATTACCTGCGGGGGCAGCAAAGGCAGCATCATGGGATCACCAGACACTTTTTTGACATCCTGGATGCTAAAACAACATATTACTTTTTTCAGTGCGGTTTAAAGTGGGATCGAATGCCAATTTTTAATTACCTCACGGGCACTTGTGACTTTTGAACAATATTAATTTAGAGTACGAAAGTCGAAATTGACATCAAAATTCGACGTCATGACCAAACACTACCAAACAGCTTGTCAAGTGCGGTCTTGTGAACAGAGTGACGGATCAAAAACTGTCGAAGATGATGCTTGATTTGGTTATCCTGAGAGGAGACGAAGAGGACGCCCAGTGAAAGGATGATGACGGGGTTTGTTAAATAAAGTGAGGGAATGCCAACTCCCTGAAGGATTGTGAGAGGACCGGGTGCAGTGGCGGTCAGACGTTACAGAACGCCAAGGAACGCTGTGAAAGGGACTCTTATGTACGTAATTAAGACAATGCAAACCCCCAAAACATCAGTAACCAATACCTACTACTGGAGATGTTGCATGTGTGAGGAATTTGCGATTTGACTATTGATTCTTATGTAAAAGTTTGCGAAAAACACGATAGTGCCACTAGTTTTCCCTGAAATGAACTCCCAAGCTCAAAAAAGCTCTCAAAATTGAGGGCGTAATGGAGGGGATATTCCACGCTATCCTGAGAGTCCACCTCTGCATCAAGACATGCAAAGATAGGGAGCAAATACATTGACAGGGGTGCCACTTTATTTGGGGACTCTAAAACTGAAAACACGGCAACCCTGCTAATGTATTTGCTCCCTATCTATGCATGGAGAGTGTCTTGATGTAGACGTGAGCTCTCAGGATAGCGTGGGATATCCCCTCCCTTACAGCCTCAACTTTGAGAGCGTTTTTTGAGCTTGGGAGTTGATTCCAGATAAAACTAGTGGGACCATCGTGTTTTTCGCAAAATTTTACATAAGAATCAATAGTCAAATCGCAAATTCCTCCCACATGCAACATCGCCGTTACAAATGTAAAAATATCCCGAAGTGTTTGGTGGTTTTTTTTAACATGTTTTCCTTTTTTTCCAGTTCCATGTACCTGAGTCTGTTAGTTCGACAATCGACTCGAGACGAGAACGTCACAAGCTGCAGAGAGTCTCAGCCGTAGAAACCGAGGACACCGGTACTCATGTATGAAAATTCCTGCCCAGAAAACACTGTCACCGCCTAGGAGTTTCGGGGCTGCAAAAGTACCACCCCCCAGAAACAGAGCCCTTTTCTTGCCTCAGAGATAAAGGAATGGATGGAAAATTTTAACAAAAATTACCCCCAAAACAGCTACTTTCAACTAACAGTGTGGGGTTACTGCTAGAAAATTGAAATTTGGAAGAGCTCCCAAAAAAAAATTCCTGAAATTTCTTGGCTCTGCCAGTTGTTTTAAACTTTAGTCAAACGTTGTACTTATTTTTAAGACTTTGCATTTATTTTTATGATTAAGATTAAGAGTCAAATACCAAGTCTAGTAAATGAAATTTCAAAGAATTAAAATTATTTTGATCAAATTCCTGACACTAAGGATTAGCAGATTACTGAAGTCGGCCAACCATTCTAAAATCAACCTTGGCCGACCTACTGTTGAGAACTAACGTCTTTAATAACTCAATGTGTTGACGATTAGTAGGTTTGCTAGTTGAGAGGATGGCTGGTTTCAAAAGTAGATGATACCATAGATACTCCATTAACACTATCGATATAATCGACGAGTATGGCTGTAATATCTGTTTTTGAAGGACTAACTAAGTATATCATGCATTTTGACGAGATTGAAGTAAATATTTATCTAGAGGTCGTTGATGAAGAGAGTGAGTACCTATATAGTTTATTTTTTTTTTGGTTTTAACTAGGATTAAGTTAAGAACTATATTTTCCTTTATTTGTGCCATTGAATTTTTGTTAAGTGATATTATTTTATTTCCTAACGAGCTGAAAACACAAGTGTCATTTCATGTCACCTCTTACTGGATCAAGGAGTTTGATCAATATGAGTTGAGTCGCTTATTGCGGGTTTAAAATAATATAGTTTGATGAACCCTGCTCTAAAAGAAGCAACTAAGCTTGTAAAAAAGCGAGTTTAAAATAATTAAATAGTATTGCCTGAAAAAAACGTCATCTTAAGTTTTATGTAAATGGTCTTTTTGGTCAATCCCGTTCCAAACTTGCCGTTTTAAATTTCTAAAATCAAAATAAAATATATTTAGAGCCTAGTTCCTTTGGTATATGAGGAAAGCTGTTAGAATAGTTGAGCTAAGCCTTTGAAGATAGGCTACCCGCTACCTGGCTATACTCAAATATTATTCTGACGACTAATGTGCGAGATTCTACTCTAAATTAATTCAAAGAGATTTTTAGCTCGTTGAATTTGTGTACATACTATTTTTTTAATTATCTTACATTATTATCATAGTGATGTTATAATTTTTGACGTGCCATACTTTGACGAATCATAACTTGCCGAAGACAAGAGTGAAAATTGCAACACTTGCACACACGAAATGGATGTGCCGAAGAGTGTAAAAATCTGGGGGAAAAAAACATTTTTGAAAAGGGAAATTAAACAAAACTAAATTAGATGTCAAATAAAACAAATTAAGTAATTAAGATTGATTTAAAAAGAAAACAAAATAAAATAAAAGTATTCCTCTGTGCCAGAACCATACTGATCTTTAAAGGAACTGTTGTACATTCATTGTATTAATTTTATCAAGTCAAAATTATACTTGTGCTAAAAGCTGTTTTTCCCGCATTTCTTCAAAATTTTGACGGCAAGTTATGGTATGTTTTACCGCCGCACACGGAGAAATTTGCTATTTTAGGTCGTGAGCCGATCTCTCATTATAATAAGTTATAATTAGCTACTAGTACTTGATACCGCATTTATCTGTGATAGACAAGAATTCCGTCAACTTTATCTTCATCAATTATTAATGTTTCATATAATTTCATCATTAATTTTCTTTAGTCTGTATTTTATATCAAGCTTTAAAACTCAATCGCGACCATCTATTCAATTGTAAAAGAGTACTTAATTTATGTAAAGGTTGTTTACTTAACTCAACATTTTCTTAACAATTCAAAATAAGTAAGGTTTAAGTATACCTACGGGGAAAAATGCGACACATTATTGACGCTAGACCAAGACATGCACTATTTCGAATGGTATAACGTATTATCGTACCAAGGAAGAGAGCTGTACGTGCCAAAACCACAGTTACTTTATTTCTGCATGAGTCCGTCGATTAGTGCTGCGAAAAGGAGTTGACACTAACATGAACATTTTTGTTTACTCAAAACGTAAGTTTTACAGCACTTTTCCCCTCTATCACTTTTTTTGGTCATGCTATTGTCCCTTACTCAGGTTAGTTCAGAGTTTAATTTCACTTATTTTCAGAATTTTGAAACTTCAAAGTGCGTGCAATCATTACTTCTTAGGTTAGTAACCTCCTTGCCAGCATTGAGTTTCAATTTAAATGCTGCGCAGTTTTGATAATACCTTTCATTTTGAATCACTGACACGAATTGAAAATGGCACACTGTAAAACGTCTTCCATTTCTTGATTTCGTCTGAGCATAAAAAGAAAAAGCTCCTTTTTAATTTTAAAAAACAGTGCTGTTACTGAATATAGCCCTCTCGTAGATCCTCTCTGAACCCACAATGCAAACCCAACCGTTTTACAGTATCTTGTAAAGGATTAGAGAAAATGGAGACTTTTTACAGTGTAAAATTTTCATGTAAGTATCCAATTATGTAGCAGTGTCACATACACCTTGGGAAAAAATCAAAAGACCTTCAAAGTTAGATTAGTCACGATGTAAAACCTATACTTTAAAATTCCTCAGATAAATAATTGATAGCTGATGATATCTGTAAATACATAGGTAGTACCCTTTATTTTTTTACTTTTTGCTATGCACCATGACTAACCTGTGCTCCGTTGTCAAGAAAATACAAAAATGGCTGTAATTAATTAATTGATGGATTCTGTTACCTTCTGTAAAGAAAAAAATGTACCTACACAATGTAATCACGAAATACTTAAATTCTTTTTTGCTTATTTTTTTGTATTATTCAAAATCATTGGTGTATTTTTTATCAGCACGCAAAAGTTTCATAAAGACGGCTAATGGGTTGAAAATGCCCCTGAGAGATCTATGGCTGAACTCGTGGAATTTTTTTACCTCCGCATCCTGCACATTGAGAACCCGTTACTAAAATTTCCTTGTCAGACTTTCATCTAAAACAAACAGAGTTCCCGCTACCGCGGTAGAATTATTTTTACCGCAATCAGAATACTATTCAAACAAATAAAATATGGTTGTCTTAAGAAGAAATACGAAGAAAAACTTATTAGTCGGACTTTGACCTAGAAACCTCAGGACATTTTTCTTCGTGCGGACAAATGAAAATTCAAAAGTCGTCCATAATAGTGCCTACATCCATCAAAACGGAGTTATCTTCCCCAGTATACATAGTGCATGATGCCATCTACTACGGTGCACGCACATGATACAATGATCTCTTCCACATTTGATCATCAATCATTGAAACACACATTTGCATTACTTTTTGCTCCATTTAAAATATGGATGAAATCAAGGTTGAGGGGACCATTTTATGCATCACCGCAGTGGTTGACGTTTTACATCGGGTTTTTTGAAGGGCGATACCTCTTTTAAAATACTGGCCGTGGAAAATTAGTGCTCGGACAGAACTTCAGATAAGCACACAGAGAAAATAAGCGATTTCTCACTTAATTAATTAACTACATTATTTTACTCAATAACGTTAAAACCATTTCACTTTAAATTGAGTAAAGACATTGCAGACTCTCCGACTTTTTGTGTCCTTACCAATAGATCAGACGAAATCCGTACACTCTGCCGCACTCCTTGTTGCCATTGGCTGCTTCGCCACTCTGTGACGTCACGCGTACAGATCAGTTGGATTGCATTTTGCAAAAATGAACCACTAGCATTGCAATGATGCTAAGATTGTGCAACTTCATCTTCTGCAATAAAATTGCGGAAATCGTGAAAAACTATGAAATTTAGATGGTAATTTTTGTCTTAAATTTACAGTTTTTAGGGAGTAAAATAGAAACTATTATTAGATAATTGGGTTTTTTCTGCAAGACAAAAGAAGTTGCACAATCTTAGCAACATTGCAATGCTAGTGGTTCTTTTTTGCAAAATGCAATCCAGTTAAGATAGGGAAGCGTACTTCCCGTAAGCTTTTGGTCCGCACGCGATCCTTGTTGGTATGGGGAAGATCCGTACCGTACGGCACGAATATGTCCGCACACTAACATAGGATCACTGATCAGACTCAGTTGGATTACATCTTGCAATAAGGAACTACTATCTCTGGCTCTCCCATACAAGCACATATCTGCATAGGAAAACCAATGGCATTTATGATGTTTCTGAAAAGGGCCAGAAACAGTGGTTCCTTATTGCAAACGTAATCCAATGCTACGAACAGTCGCAAATGACAACAGGTAAAATCAACAAATGACAACGTATAAAAATAAAACGTTGGTTTATTTACACTTTAAGTCAAATAAATTATAAATAAAATCTTCGATTCCATGACATTTGTACAAAATTGTAAAGAACCTAATGAAATAATTCGTTTCAGGTATGCGACATTAATCGTTGTACATCCATGCAAGATGGACTGGGAGGGGGGGTGGCTGCGGCAGGGAGTCTTAATGTATGATGATTTTACTTTTTCTTAAGTTTATGGTTACATTCCACTTTTCAATAATCGCGTTGAAAAATATAAGTTATCGACACTTCTAATGACTTAACCGCACTGGAAATGGAGGAATGTTTCAATTGCTCTTTAAAGTTCATAATGAGGTAAACGATGATTTGTTTGGAAAGTATTTACAAATTTACACAAATCTTAAATAACACAACATTTTGAGCTTGACATCGAAACAAATATATAGAATTTATAATCGACGGACCCACTAATCTTANTGCAATATTTCATCAAGCAGTCATTCCAAAACGCGTCCTTTTAATTTTAAAGTAATTTTAAGTAAAGTTTAAAATTAAAGTATACCTCATATCGTATTTTTTTAGGGGAAAAATAAAACTAACACTGATAGGAGGGTAAAAATAGGGCCGCGAAGCGGCCCATTGATGGCGCGGAGCGCCTTCAGGGGGTTGGGCCGCGTAGCCCCCTAGTTTTCTATAAGCACGCTAAAGTTTCATAAAGACGGCTAATGGGTTGAAAATGCCCCTGAGAGATCTATGGCTGAACTCGTGGAATTTTTTTACCTCCACATCCTGCACATTGAGAACCCGTTACTAAAATTTCCTTGTCAGACTTCCATCTAAAACAAACTGAGTTCCCGCTACCCCGGTAGAATTATTTTTACCGCAATCAGAATACTATTCAAACAAATAAAATATGGTTGTCTTAAGAAGAAATACGACGAAAAACTTATTAGTCGGACTTTGACCTAGAAACCTCAGGACATTTTTCTTCGTGCGGACAAATGAAAATTCAAAAGTCGTCCATATAGTGCCTACATCCATCAAAGCGGAGTTATCTTCCCCAGTGTACGTAGTGCATAGTACTACGGGTGCACGCACATAATACAATGATCTCTTCCACCTTTGATCATCAATCATTGAAACACACATTTGCACTACTTTTTGCTCAATTTAAAATATTGATGAAATCAAGGTTGAAGGGACCATTTTATGCATCACCGCAGCGGTTAACGTTTTACACCGGGTTTTTTGAAGGGCGATACCTCTTTTAAAATACTGGAAAATTGGTGCTCGGACAGAACTTCAGAGAAGCTCACAGAGAAAATGAGTGATTTCTCACTTAATTAATTAACTAAATTATTTTACTCAATAACGTTAAAACCATTTTACTTTAAATTGAGTATAGGCATTGCAAACTCTCCGACTTTTTGTGTCCTTCTTACCAATAGATTAGACGAAATCCGGACGCTCTGCCGCACTCCTTGTTGCCATTGGCTGCTAAGCCACTCTGTGATGTCACGCGTACGGATCAGTTAAGATAGGGAAGCGTTTTCCCCGTAAGCTTTTGGTCCACACGCGATCCGCGTTGGTATGGGGAAGATCCGTACCGTACGGCACGAATATGTCCGCACACTAACATAGGATCACTGATTAGACTCAATTGGATTACATTTTGCAATAAGACTAACTCTGGCTCTCCCATACAAGAGCATATCTGCATAGGAAAACCAATGGCATTTATGATGTTTCTGAAAAGGGCCAGAAACAGTGGTTCTTTATTGCAAACGCAATCCAATGCTACGAACAGTCGCAAATGACAACAGGTAAAATCAACAAATGACAACGTATAAAAATAAAACGTTGGTTTATTTACACTTTAAGTCAAATAAATTATAAATAAAATCTTCGATTCCATGACATTTGTACAAAATTGTAAACAACCTAATGAAATAATTCGTTTCAGGTATGCGACATTAATCGTTGTACATCCATGCAAGATGGACTGGGAGGGGGGGTGGCTGCGGCAGGGAGTCTTAATGTACGATGATTTTACTTTTTATTTAAGTTTATGGTTCCATTCCACTTTTCAATAATCGCGTTGAAAAATATAAGTTATCGACACTTCTAATGACTTAACCGCACTGGAAATGGAGGAATGTTTCAATTGCTCTTTAAAGTTCATAATGAGGTAAACGATGATTTGTTTGGAAAGTATTTACAAATTTACACAAATCTTAAATAACACAACATTTTGAGCTTGACATCGAAACAAATATATAGAATTTATAATCGACGGACCCACTAATCTTAGTTCAATTTATACACTATCAGTTCAAGATGTCAACTAAGATTGTGTCCTTTGTTTGTAGTCGTTCGATATTATTGTTACAGTTAGCTCAAAATTTATCACAACTATGCACAAAATCTAAAACAAACTTTTCACACCCAATGTCGTGTGAATAATCTAGGGGCTTTGCAGAAACATAATTTATTTTGTAAAAGTCGAATGTCTGTGAGGATGTGAGATTTTAATAGTGTTCAGAGATTCAGATTTCAATTATTGTACTGAAAAAAAAACACAGACTTTAAGATCTAAATTTAAAACGAGGAATAGATGTTTCAGAGTAGGTGTTCACTTAGAAAAGTGAGGTCTTAACTTTCGCGGACGAGAATCAGAGAAACTAAACTCATGTCCCTTTTATTCATTCATTGATCCCGCGAAAGTTTGCATTAATGCGATCAAAATAATAGATCGATAAAAATATGAAACAGGAATATTCAATTTCGTTTAACATGACAGTTCATTCCACCATTGAATTTTAGGAATATTTTCCGATCAAAGGGCTTTACGATGAAGTCAAATCTAGGAGCGACCAAGAGTAACGATGCATTGCTTCCCATCATGCGATCGATTCTAGATCTCCTTGATAGCTCGTGCTTGCTTTGAATATTTACACACACAAAAATATACATCTAATCCAAGTAGCATTTTTCAACGGAAAAATCGCGATGTTTATCACTTAAATTGCGATTATTTTATGATTTTTGGCGATAAAATCGCTACGATCAACACTTAAGCGATAATTCTTAATCTTGTCGCAATTTTTTCTCTACAAAATGGCGTTCGATAAAATTAATTTTTTTGTCCATTTATCACCATTTTTTGTCGGATAACATTGCGATGAATCGCCGTCACTAAAATCGCGATTTTATTGCAAATTTATGTGACGAAATTGCAATATAATCACAATTTTTTATCCGATACTATTTGCAATAAATCTACGTGGATTAAATCGGGATAAATTTTCCGATCAAATCGCAACTCATCGCAATCTCTGCTTCTTCGGAAATGAGGGTCATCAAACATTTGTGATTTTTTTCTTCTCAAGGTAAGTAAAAGTTCTAGTTCTTAGTCACCCTTGTCGACAGAACAACAGAGTACAAAAATAGTTTCACAGCTATTCAGTCTTATAGTTTATCAGTGGCCTCTGAGCGTCGGATCAGATTTGTTTGATGGTGTTGTCGATCCAGTCGATATTCGAAGAGATCTTGTCGTAGAGCCGTGGTCTTTGCATTCCCGGCTGGGAGCACGCTATTCGCCAATTGCTGATCCCGGCCAAAACCCAGCTTTTACCCTCTGGTCGCATGCATATCATCGGACTGCCGGCCAGCTCCTCCTCCTACGCACAAAAATAGAAGAATTATACCACGCGAAAAATAAACAAAATTGACAAAGTAACATCTAGGATGTTGAAAATCTACGTGACAACTCTGAAACATCGATATGAACTATACGCTGGCCACTTAGGTTGTTAATGCTATGTGAGAAGGATGTTACAGAAACAACCGTAGAACATGAAATGTCGGAATCGTCACGCTAATTTACAACTTTTCAAACAATCAATTTTCAATTACAAATTTTCTAAAATCGGTCCGGATGCTATCAGATCAAATCTTATTTATGCATTTCGGAGTGACAGCAACTGTTGATAGAATAGCTGTTAGATATAAAAAGAGGAGACATCGAGAAAGCCGCAAAAAAAAAAAAATCAAAATCTTGGTGCGAATTGCGAAAAGTGACGAAAGGCAATTTTCATTGAATATTCGAGAGGAATGAAATTGTGATTTTAAGTCAATATATTTGGCAAATTTTCCTCTTGTAATCAAGTTTACATACCTCACAAAACAACTGGACCCAAAAATTTAAGCTAAGCACCGCCACTATTCCCCAAAATGGATACTAAAAGTGCTATAAGATAGCATCCTCAATATTAAATAAGTGTCCAATGTTCTTTAGATGCTGGTTTGGCTGATCCCTTGGTGGTCAAATGTACATCTTGCAAACTGATTGCAAATTATGCGTGTAGACGGTCTGACCAGAACCTAGGGATCACGAGACCCATTTTTGACATCTTAAATGTTAAAGTGGCATATTATTTTTTTTTCCTTTTTTTTCTTTTTTTCTGTTTTTAATACTTATTTTTTTTAATATCTTGCCGGAGAAAAGTTTTTTGAGTCAGAAGCTTGGCAACACACCTTAAAATTGAAAAAATCTGAATCAAATCAGTGAAAATTCGACCGATTACAACCACATTGATTTCGTATACTTACATTACAGTCATTCTGCTGGTAGACTGACTCTGTGCACACACCATTCACCGAAGTAATGCTTATGTTTGCACACAAGTCCATTTGGATAACAGATACTTCAATCCGCTCAAGAAACTCGCCTGCAAAAAAATTGTATCAAAATTCAACACTGGAGGAGTGATATTAACATAATCGTCTCACCGATGCATTTAAATGTTCCTTTCTACAATTTGGCAACATGCATTTTTCAAATGTTTATAAGTGTTCACATTTGGATCACTTTTTGAAATAGGGAACTACTGTTTCTAGCTGATCCATGAAAGCACCCATCTACACAGGGAAACTGATGGCATATATCGACGGTGTGAATCGGCAATCGCATAACTTGGTTAGCGACGTCGCAGACCTCTTTTCATGCCCTATTTTTTAAACGGAAAAGTACACAATGGCAATTCTTTAAAACTGCCGTGATTTTTCTTCTCTGTGCGAAGAAAATTCTGCAAAAACTTCCTGGAATGATGTCGATTCGTTCTCCTTTTAAAAAATAACATAGAGGCGGAGATTTTCAGACACCACAAAGGAGATATTTGATTACAGACCCACGCTATAGATATGATGTATCTGAAATCTGCTAGAAATAACAGTTCTTCATTGCAAGAACTCTGATGATGAAAAATGAATTCTAATCGACTCTATAGGTAAGGCAGCATTTTTGAAATGGCATTGAGCCACGAGACATTTTTACAGAAACATTAAAACACCTAATTGGCTTTTGAATTTGATCCTATATTGGGTGGGTTTTACAAGTTTTCTCATTCGTCGTGCTTTTTCAAATTGCATATGCGTCCTTAGATGAAGTATACTGTCAGTATTGTAACATTAGAGTTAGGTCTTTTTTCGAAACGCTCAACGTAGATACGTCTTATTTCCTTAATTTCATACGATGTAGACGTAATTTTCAAAGCACTTACGATTTTTGGCCCATCCAAGAGTATGGCAGTGGATGAGCTCTTGCGGAGCAAGACTTCGGGGTGGTAGGCAAATGGGCCGGATGAAGTCCGAGAAAATGACTGGTTTGTTGAGTTTGATCATGACGACAGTGCTGCCTTCTACCGGAGATTTGACCATTCCAATTACGTGACGCTCCTGTTGCCATGGTGACGTGGACTGCAAACGAACACTCCCCAGTCGGGCTATCCACTCAGCTTTGCTTTGCCTGTGATTTGACAAGGTATAATTGATATGAGGACTACTACTCTTATTAAAAAGATATTTTCCACAATATATTGACGGCATAATCAAGAATGTTTCTACCTGAACCGAGTCACTTTCTTCTCAAATGAAATTAAAAAAAATATGCTAAAATGTATTAAATACGGATGCTAGGACTTGGTAAGTTTTTGGACTACCGCTCTCTTTTTGTGCCGTAGTAACTTGATTTATTTTGCGAGGAAAGTTCCGTACTCTTAAAGGATACCCTTCATTCTTGATATCTTGGAGCGCCTTCAATTTCGTATGGTACTGTGCAACACCTCTGTCGTGAAATAGATGCTTGAGACGCCGAGGCACTCTGCGGCGAGGCGGGCGGTAGGGTGTCCCTTATTTTTGAAATTTGAGAAAAGTTAAGCTCCCCAGGTCTCAAAACGTGCTATGAGGTGTACAAATAAGGAATGTTTTTTGGAAAAAATTTTAAAAAAAATTTTAGGACTCTCTCAAGCGCCCTAAAGGGCGTCAGTCGAAAATGTTCATTTCTGGTAGAGTGGATAGTCAATCTTAGGTGAAATTGACGAATTAACGCCTGTAAGGCAAAAATTTGGTCCGTTTGGTCGTATCTTTGATCGTTCAGCCGGAAAACCGACTTAAATGGGCGGGAAGTCGAGCCGCGGCCGCGCGCCGCGCGCGGCTGACCGAGACAAGCTTTGCATCGCGCGGCCGCCGGCCGCGCGCGGCGACGCGCGTGGGTTGTGAGTGAGGAACATGTACTCATACACAGCTAAACGTAGTGAAACAAAGAAAAATAAAAATATAAATAAATGAATTAATAAATAAATAAATGAAAATAAAAGGCTAAACACGAGTTGTTGATTCGCTGTTATTGCGAGACGGAGACTCAATGTTGTTCTTCAGAGGGAGGACAATTAAAATTCTGATAAGGCTCTTATAAATTAATATAAATTGTTCAATGTTTAAAAACGTCTTCGGCATGAAATTAGTTCAGCGTACCATCGTCCAACTTGCGTAGTAACATATTTTTGGTAACAATAGCAATATTAGGTAGTTTAACAAAAGTCAAAGCTTATCAAAATTTTTCGATGTCATTAGCTAGAATTTTTTTGGATATTTTATGAACATTGTTTGTGAAGTGAGACAATACTTGTAATAAATCTTGAAATCTTGCTCACTTTCAACTTTCTTATTAAATTTTTGCATCGATTGACACATCAATTTGGCGGCCCTTTCAGTATGGTCCTTCATAACTTCATTTAATAAGGCTCGGTGGATGAATAAGGCGATTCACCCTCTGAAGATCTGGATGTTTAGAAATTAATTCCCCCTTACAGGAGAGGAACAAAAAGGAATTCTTCACGTTAATATTTTTTATTGTTAGGGTGTATATAAAAAGTCCGTTTCGTTCTCCCCTTTCTGCTGGCGCTCCCAAAAATGACCTTCAGCTCATTGAAGATTTAGTAGAATTTAAAAAATTTGATCCTTTAGCAGGAGGCGAGCTCTACAGAAATTTTCAAATCACTAATGGAACTTGAGTGAATTGCTCGTCCCTCTGTCTCTTTTCGATAAGAGAATTTCGTCGGAGAAGAAGATGCTGTGTGTTTATAATTTAAACCATAATACAGGCCTCCCTGCCCCACTCAGACGTCGAGATGCTCTGCCTGAGGAATTCACTAGACTGACTGATGTATTTAAAAAAAATAGCATGGCTTTTTGTTGACATTCTTGGTATTTCATCGGCATTTTTAAATATAGACCCAGTATATTGGCCAGAAAGCCCGGAATACATACATATGTACCAAATTGTTTTAGCCCTTATTTGAAGTAGTGAAGGACCATACTGAAAGGGCCGCCAAATTGATGTGTCAATTGATGCAAAAATTTAATAAGAAAGTTGAAAGTGAGCAAGATTTCAAGATTTATTACAAGTATTGTCTCACTTCACAAACAATGTTCATAAAATATCCAAAAAAATTCTAGCTAATGACATCGAAAAATTTTGATAAGCTTTGACTTTTGTTAAACTACCTAATATTGCTATTGTTACCAAAAATATGTTACTACGCAAGTTGGACGATGGTACGCTGAACTAATTTCATGCCGAAGACGTTTTTAAACATTGAACAATTTATATTAATTTATAAGAGCCTTATCAGAATTTTAATTGTCCTCCCTCTGAAGAACAACATTGAGTCTCCGTCTCGCAATAACAGCGAATCAACAACTCGTGTTTAGCCTTTTATTTTCATTTATTTATTTATTAATTCATTTATTTATATTTTTATTTTTCTTTGTTTCACTACGTTTAGCTGTGTATGAGTACATGTTCCTCACTCACAACCCACGCGCGTCGCCGCGCGCGGCCGGCGGCCGCGCGATGCAAAGCTTGTCTCGGTCAGCCGCGCGCGGCGCGCGGCCGCGGCTCGACTTCCCGCCCATTTAAGTCGGTTTTCCGGCTGAACGATCAAAGATACGACCAAACGGACCAAATTTTTGCCTTACAGGCGTTAATTCGTCAATTTCACCTAAGATTGACTATCCACTCTACCAGAAATGAACATTTTCGACTGACGCCCTTTAGGGCGCTTGAGAGAGTCCTAAAATTTTTTTTAAAATTTTTTCCAAAAAACATTCCTTATTTGTACACCTCATAGCACGTTTTGAGACCTGGGGAGCTTAACTTTTCTCAAATTTCAAAAATAAGGGACACCCTAGCGGGCGGCCGACCAGCGCGCAACGCGCCTACAAACCTAACTGGATACTTCACGCATTGCGCAATGCGGGAAGTATCCCTGTTAGGTTTGAAGGCGCCAGTGCGCGTTACGCGCTGACGGTACGACAGCCGCGACGCTCTGCTCTGTTAGGTTCTAATATTTAAACCCCTGGAGTCAGCGATGTCCAAACCATGAATTTGGAATGTTTGTACACTCTGCATTGATTATTCTCATTTAAAGTGATGGAAAAAGTATATGCATTAAACGGCAATGTAAAGTGTGTTTTGTAAGTATGAAGGTGGTTCCGTGTCAAGTTTAATGATTTCCGAGGCACTTTAATTTTTTCTTTTATAAGTCTCATTCCCGGAGCTTTTTAATCGAACACAATCGACAACGTATCGCAATGGTGACCTAGCACCGCGCAGGAGTCATGGAAATCAGTGCCTGGGAAATGCTTCAAAATGGTGCCAGCTTCTCCATTTCCTTATACGACTTTTTGTACTCTATGGTTCAAATATACAGAGTTTAGGCAGGGTTCTCGGAATAATGGATTATCCACGTTACTCTGTTAGAAGAAACAACTTAATTGGCCCGAAATACAGACAAAAAACAACTTAAATCGGGACTAAGGCCGCAAATAATAAAAAGAACACATAAAATTTACATTTTAATTATGTTATTAGTTTTCTTTGTTTTGCCGGTTGAAAATGCGGATGTGATCCCTGCGAAACGCCCCGGGCTTTTTATTTTATTTTATGTGTTCTTTTTATTTATGTTTATTAATTTCATTTTCATATTTATTAATACATTTTATTTTATGTGTTCTTCTTATTATTTGCGGCCTCAGTCCAGATTTAAGTTGTTTTTGTGGTACTCTGTTTATTCTTCCATGGTACTGGTTACAACGTGTATGAATCATTTTAAGATATTTCTTATCTTTTAAGTTTCATATCAATTTAACTGGCTAGAACGTACCCTTGGAAGCAAGAAACCGTCGTGAGAACCCACTGAGGCGAAACGAGGGTGCCGTCGCAGATATGAACGTTCTCGCGAAACAGGGCTGCATGCCAAGGCCAGTCACCCGGAGCAGCCATCTTACCGAGCCCGTCCACACCGTTCAGCTCTCTCGCAGTTTGGGTTCCGCATTCTGGAAAAAAGTTAAAATCGACCTTAAATTGTAAAAATAAAATTGCAATGTACACATATATTTTAGTTTCGCCACCTTAATAATCAATGAAACAGAAGAGAAAACAATATGGTGTATGAATTAATGGAGAGGACATGAACGCTGCCGTGCTCCGAAAAAAGGCTGTATGAGTCTTTAGGCATTGCCAAATTTCCTTCAATAAAATGTGAATTTCCTAGAAAACTTGAGGATATTTTTCTCCCAATTTTTCACAGAATTTCATTCGCACAGTAATCATACAGTATCCGAAAATTGAGAGGAAAACTATTCACAACTCTCCGATAAAATTAACATTTTATCGGAGGAAATTTCGCAAATCTCGAATGTCCATACGGCGGTCTTCCTAAGCATGGCAGAATAGTCAATGTGGTCATTGATAATACATCTCATTTCGCCACGGCTCGTGGCACCACGCAAGAAACATTGTTGCGTTTAGCCAAAGCTTATAGATGCTGTGTGGCTAAACGTGACAATTAAAAATGAGTGTCGCTAAATGCAACAAATTTAATTTTATTTCATTCTTAATTAAATTTTTAGAATGAATGCGTCAAAAGAGCGATGTTATGCGTGATGAAGCTTACCCATTTCATCGCATGAGACATAAAGCACTTGTTTTGAAGGACAAGGAGCCGGAATGAAGGTGATCTCTGGAGCCAGAGGATTTTCCATATGCACGTAGCGTCCTCCCAAATTTCCATTCTTGCTTGTGTCTTCTTTAATCTGCACATCTGCTACTTTTCTGCAAAAAGGGAGTATTTGGACTATTTTTTAGCGCAGAAACTTTAGAATAAGTTTATTGGGATAAGTTTGAGTAAAGAGGAACGTACAAGTCTCGCAAATGGACCTTACCAATTATTTTTGTATCTCAAATAAGGATTCGTGAAATGTAGCACATGTTTATGCATGTTTTTGTGGTTTATCTGTTATGCTATACTCGAAGCTATAAGCTCTGAAAGAAGAGAATAGAGAACATAAAAATGAATTTATTGTCTCAGGAGAGGAATCATCAGATCGCAAAGGTTATTTTTAACTGGTCAATGTTTAATGCCCTGATAACAAAACAATTGATACCGTTGAAAAATGAATACAAATTTTCGCTCTCAAATTCCAAAAAATGATGAATTCGTAGTTTGTTTTTGTTAGCCATTATTTTAATTTTTTCGGTTTTCTTAAAATTGAATTGAAAGAACCTACACCATGTATAATCAAGTTCAAAATAATGATGACATTTAGACCTCGTTACGCAGGAAGAAACCAAGTCAGGTCAGCTTTTGTCAAATTTAATTCTGCAATTTAATTTTTTACTTGAAGAGGACGGTTGCGTGGATTTTTTTTTTTTAGCGAATTTGAGTGAATGTTTTGCATATTACAAAGCGAATTTCTTAAAAATTTAAAAAAAAATCCGCCAGAACGTTCTCTTCTAAAAAATAAAATTGTTCAGTTAAAGACAATAGCTAATGTGACTTGGTTCCTTTCTACTAAATGCGGTCCAATTACATTCTTCATTCAATGGTCATAGCTAATCTCCATTTATTTTTCATTTCAATTTTGTAATGTATGATTAAGTTTATGAAAAAATACCATACATCATCCATTTATTTCCTGAAGATTCAGTCAAAAGTTTGTCATTCACTATGTGAGCATTGGTTCATGCTTAGAGAATGAGTCGAAGTAATGGATAGGTCAACTTACTTGTAAGAGAGAGTATGGCAAAGGGAGGCTGCAATAGTATGTAGGGTGCTATCAACGTCTTGCGGTGGGATCGTAGCATTGAGGTTGGCCGTGCAAATTTTTCCCATTAATCCCCGCTCATTAAATATCACGTAGCCTTCCGAATGGTACAAAGCAGGTTGGGCAGATCGCAAGTTTCCTAAAGCCGCGACGTCTGGAGCAAGCGTCACTACAAACACAGACAGTCGTTAGGTTACTCATATATAACATTTTAAATATGAATGAAACCACGGTTTTGCATTCCATGATTCTTGAAATACCAATGAAACTTCTTGGATGAAACTAGCTGCTGTAGAAATATCAATGACCGAAGCTAAAAAATGGGTGGATCAGCTTTGTGACGTGTTGGAAATCTTTGCCCTTGGTTTGTTTATTTATTTTTCTACTGAAACTAACACCGAGTAGCGAAATATCAACCGAAAATTCGCAAAATTTGAAATTAAGTTGCAATTTTTTCGAACAATTCTTTGGCGATAAAATTTGTCTTCCCCTTTTTTTAAAAAAAAATGGAATGACATAGAAACTGAGGATCCTATGTATAATTGGAACCGCGCAGAGAGCCTGACGTGAGGCAGGTAAGCAATTTAATCAACGCCTGAGCAAACTGTGGTATCATGTCGTTTTGAAGGAGTTTTTTTCGGCGTGAACATGCTTCTCGAGCATTGCGATTGAAAAGTACAGACGCGATAATGATGTCAATTCTGCTTAGACCCTTCATGTGGTTGACGCGCTATTAATTTCTCATCACAAGTCTCTCTTATTAAAATTTTTCTTTTAAGTTGATAATTATTAGAAATTACACAAATTTAGCACAAAAAAAAAAACAAAAAAACAAAACAAATATTCAGATAATAGGCTTACAAGCCATGTTCCCCATGGAAAAATTCATTACAGAACGTACAGAAAAAATCACCTTCAGTGGCAGCGACCTTTCACACCGTTGTCGGTGTTACAAAGTTCACGTTATGCCGCTTATGAAATTGAGCGTGTTCCAATCAAAATGACCTCACACCTTGTACACAGAGGCTGAGTACGCTTTTGAATTTTTCCAACAAGAAATTTTACTTTTTATTCATAGACCGTAATTGTTTCCACTATTTTTAGCTTGGGTGTATACATTAATACATTGAGGTACTATACATTAGGCTATGGGACTACATATCATGGTGATACATTAAGCTATGGAACTTACGGCAGGCTTTTTCGTCGCTTCCATTGGGGCAGTCTAGAATAGCGTTACACCTGTTGGTTGGTGGGATGCAATGCTTTCCGTGTCCACAGTGAATGTAGCCAGGAGGACAGTAATGACAGTTCGTCTCATCGGTCATGTCTCCGCAGTCCAATACCCCGTCGCATAACCGAGATCTCATCCCTTTCGATTCCAGCTCGACGTTACAGCCTATTGGAACGCGGAAAGGAACGACAAATGGTATTAAAATTATGATCTGGGATTGCAATGTCATCAACATGGATCATAGGAAAAAATGTGGGTGAATTCAATATTGTAGACATCAGAGCTAACGATAGACGAATGGGTTCGGCAATATATCAACGGTATCATTGGATATATTCAATCAATACACATAAACAACAATTTATCTTCTTTTCATGATGGGTATATAGCAGCTAATGAGCATATCTCGCAAGTTTAATTAATTAATCTCTCAGAGCGCGTGTAACCCAATAGCCGATAATATGATTATTTATGAGATTAAGTAGTGCATCTAGCAGTCATAGCCCCATCAATTATAGTCATCTGTCACTAAGGCGATGATTGAAGCTGGCTCTAATTATCCCCTGATATATAAAATGAAAAAATTAATTAAAATTAATAATGTCAAATCTGTATCATTGTCGTCAAATGGATACTCTGTTGAAAGCTTAGGTGGAAAAAAATCAAAGGTTTATCAATTTCCACATTGTCAAAACGTTATCGAAATTTTAACGTACTTCAAATGGTAGTAAATAGTCATTTTTGTCATGAGCAATCATTCGTATTTTGTAAATATAGAACATGTTTTTTTTTGGGCTGCACTGCACTTGCTTTTGAATAAGAATTCTGCAGTATCATTGAATAAGTGTCACATTAATATGCACGAAAGACTTTCGAGATTGCTGATAATTGAAAGTACAATGTGCATGTATTGTAATGTGGACCAACCTGGTTTTGAGGTGCAACTAGCTCCGATTGGACTGAACTCAGGAAACCGAGAACAGTTAAGAGACTGTTGGAATTTCGGCATCAAACGTCCTCCACAGCCAGCCAAAAAATCTCTACAGAACTGCTGACACGGAAGAACCATCTCGTCGTCATCGTGACCTTTCTTGCACGCGGGCTGTAAAATCTGACAGATAAACTCGAACGCCCTCTGAAAACACTCGCCATCAACTAGTTCCCTGAGACATGCATAAAAGGTAAAGTAAATAAATAAAACTCAAAAATTATCTTAAAAAGAATCCCACCTAATGGAACTTTTTTTACAAGACTTTAGAAAGTTAAACAGGTTTCGAAACGATGTTACTCACATGCGAACCTTTTATAATCCCTCCTTCACAGATAAGAAGAGAAACAATCAATCAAGGGACTTGGAGGACAAGGATCATAAGTGCAGTTTTTTTTTTTTTTAAAAAAAAATGAAGTATCGATAATTTCAAGTAAAACAAGTCGTCTTAATGTGTGAATCTGTGACATGTGAATCTGTGATAATTCGGTCCCAAATTCCAATTTTTAGGCGTCAGACTGTCAGTTTGAACTTTCTCTCTACCACAAGGATCCATGTAATTTTCAAACTTCAAACACGTATTCCTCGAAATAGCAAAAACTGCACTTATTCGCCTTGTCCTTCTAGCCCCTCAAATGGTATACCTAACACTAACTAATTGCTCTGGAGAGAAAAAAGTATTTTATACAAGCAAGTTTCTGTGATACCATTATTCGAGCTCCGGTGTGTTGCGGTGTATCATCGTTATTTGAAGGCGCTTTGAAAAACGGAAGGAACTTACTGGCACTTATACGCCGCTCTTATGCTTCACATCACACAACCTATTGTATTCGTGATACCACTATTTGACCCTAGGTGTGTTGCGGCGTATCATTGGTATTTGAAGGCGTTTTGAAAAACGGAAGAAACATACGAACACTCATACGCCTCGCCGCTCTTGCACTTCACAACACATAGCCTACAGTTTTCGTGATACCACTATTCGAGTTTTGGTGTGTTGCGGAGTATCATCCTCATTCGAAGGCGTTTTGAAAAACGGAGGAAACATAAGTATATTGAAATGCCGTTTTTGCACTTTATATCACAAGCTATAGTTTCCGTGATACAACTTATCGGCTCTGCCGAGTAACGGCCTGTAACAACCACCTGTATCAACCAATAGATTTCCTCCTTTGTTTTGTTTGGGGAAACTTTCAACTTTTAAGGTTTAAACACGTCAATTCTGCAATGTTACGGACCGAAAAGTGTCATATTTGTGGCCATGGGGCTTTTCTTGAAAGTTGAACAAAATTTGCAGAAAAATTCTCCTTTCACCGAAAATGTTCGATTAAATTCTGTTTCTTTTTCCGTTTACTGAATCTTTTGTTTTTCCTCGAGTCAAGCAATTTCAGTAATAGCTATTTTGTCATGCTAAGAAAGAACGGCGTATAAGCCTTCGGACGTTGCCGTATTTCCTTTAATAAAAAACGAATTTATTGTACAAATTTCGAATATTTTTTTCCAAATTTTCAGGACTATTTTACTCGCACTTTAATCCAAAATATTCGAAAATTTCAAGGAAAAATATGCATAACTTTCCTCAAAAATTCATTACTTATCCGGGGAAATTTGGAATATTCACCCACCTTTTTTCCTCAGCACGACTGTATTGAATTGTGATAAGCATTGAGACTACTTACCGGAACGCAATGACGTCATTCTCAACATCCCTGAGCGACTTGTGCCCGAAGATATTGGGGTAGGATGTGAAGTTGTAGTCGGTTTTTCCGGCGCAGTAAGGGAGCTGGACGGGGACGCACGTTCGCGGCGGAGGCGCCGTGGAGGCGGGTGAGAACTCGGTGGAGGTCGCCGAGGAGAGGGAGGAGAGATTCGGGAGTCCGGAGCTTTCTCGAACGGAGACGCTGCCCGGGTCCAGGGTCTTATTCGGCAGGTACGGTGTGTCACGGACGGCCAGAAGACGTGACACCTCCTCAGACTGAACCAGCCGGCGACGAGGGTCAAAACGCAGGGTCAGGTGCACGATCAGGTTGCGATCTTGGTCACTGTAAAAAAAGAGTTGTTATCAAAAGTAAGGAAGGCAACTAGAAACCAGTGGCAACTTTTAAAATTAAATTAAATAAAAGCTCTGAGAGAGGCTGCCAAAAAAGATGCTTGATTGGGTTCCTCCTGGGAGGAGGCGTAGGGGACGCCCAGTGAGAGGTTGGCGACAGGGGGTGTTAAGTGAGATGAGGGAGTGTCAACTCCCTGATAACCTGTGGGAGGACCGAGCTTTGTGGCGATTAGGTGTCGCAAAGCGCCAAAGAGCGTTATAACAGCGACTCGTATGTATGTATGTAAATAAAAGCTCTACCTTGATAGTAAGAATCAATAAGGATGGAACTAAAACATGGGTGAACAAGGCTAAAACATTAAAAACACTGAGAGGCAGGACGTTTCGAGCTGTTATCGGCTCATTTTCAGCTGCAAAAACCACAAAAAAATAAATAAAAAATTGAGTTGCGACCTGGCCCCAGCCCAGCCGTTATCACGTAACCACTCAATTTATACCATTTTTATTTTTACATTACACGTAATATTTTTATTCTTTTGTGTTTTTTGCAGCTGAAAATGAGCTGGTACAGGCCGAAACGTCCTGCTCATAAGTGTTTTTAAATTTTTAAACTTTGTTTACCCATGTTTTAAAACCACCCTTATCGTTTCGTATATTCGGGCTGTGTTTGTGTGCTTTATCCTTGATGATAAGTAACTGTCCGCTATAAAGACCAGGCGTGAATGATCGATTATCGATATTTCCCTACTTGAAGCTGTGGTGAAGAATCGATTTATTAAGGTGTCCGTTGCGAACACCCTGTTTATCAATCCTTTTCAGTAGGTCTAAATGTCAGATCAATCGATGTATCGCACAACACGCCAGGCTACTCTTACAAACGGACTGAGATCAAGGCCATTAATCGCGGTTTCTGGAGTGGTCAAACTGGCGTGCGATATGTTGCATCAAGTAAGTAAAAAATCTCGAAAAATTCTGAAGTTTTCCCTTAAAAGAAAATGATAGTCCTTGTGCATGGGCCTGAAGAACCATATTGAACCAGGAAATCGTCATAGTTCCGAGAAATTAAAGTAGAATCATTTTCGCGGGAAACAAATCTTTGCATTCGAGACAGCTATCGATTTCATTATTGAACCGGAGGTTTTTCCGAGAGGGATCTTTCTTTCATTTCTCAAAATTTTGTCAGTTTTCAGTTTTCTTTTGGTTTTCTTATGAAATTCTGCAACAAGCAGCGCCTTTGTTTCCCAAAAAGCTCAACTCCATGTTGCTCAACGCAATCTTATTCGCGCATTCCATATATTACAAAAGTAAGTTTCCGTAATACCACTATTCGAGCTCCGGTGTTTTGCGGAGTATCATCGGTATTTGAAGGCGTTTTGAAAAACGGAAGAAACGTACGAATAATACACCATTTTGGCACTTTACATCACCCAAGCTATATGTAACTTCCACGAAACAACTATTTGGTTCCCGGAATGTCGCAGTGTGTAATGGTGTGGTACCAGTATCAAGAAATAAAATCGCTCCATTTTTTGTCGTCGTTTTTGTCCTCATTAATAATTTATCGATGAGTTACTTTCGATGACTTATGTTCGATAAGAACCTAAATCAAAATTGATCAAAAATCAATAAGATGGGTGAGGTTGCAACTCAGAATAAAACAACGAACAAAAGCTGCTTCTAGCTGCAGTAGCATTGAAGAGCGAAACTAATCAAATTGTATATCATCATAGTTGCAACACTCGACCCGAAAAAACTAAAGACATTGGGGTCAGATGCCGCAACATGGCAGTCTGACTAAACTTCAAAAACACGAATTTTCCTCCCCCAGACTAAGACGAATAAGAACTCAAAATAAGTGCCAGAAACCGCAACAAGGCTATCTGGACTTTAGCTCTCTTCTTAGCAGCTCAATACAAAAAATCGGCTATAGGTGACCGCAACGTGGTTCACCTGTTAACACTCGCGAGAATTCGCGAGCATTCAAAAAAGGGGGGTTTTAGTCGCACTTGAGGTGATCCCTTATAGGTTCAAGACCTTAGGCGCAACAAGCCTTTTTAGTCTTGTCTTAAGGGTCTCTCGAAGATTGACTCAACAAAAGATCGCACCGAGGAGTTGGCTCATAGATTCAAAACCATAGGCTCAACATGCCTTTTTAGCTTTGGCTTGAGGACTCCAAGGTTGATCACAAAAACTCTGACGAAACACGGAGCACGTGCTCAGGCAACAGTGTCCGGTCCGGGCCTCTCTTCAAAAGAGGTGACAATAGCTAAATAGACGCAACTTGTCTGTAATCTAGCTATCGCCGAGCTAGCTAGCTATACGCCAAATAAAATGAACAACTTAGTGCTAACAATACAACACACAATAAATCAAAGGCTACTTAGTCAAAAATGCCAACAATCTATCTGGCAAGTAGCAAGGTCCAGGAAAGATGACTTCAATTGAGCAAAATCAATGAGGAAAACGGTACAAATTATTAGCTCTCAGGCCGGCGATCTCAACGCGATCTATCGGCTGAAAGCTAAACTACTTGCTCTCAATTTCAGCTGCAATATCAATCGAAAAAATAGCCAATACGGAACAACTTAACGAAAGGAGAAATTAAAAAGAATACAAGCATTTCTGAACAAATATAGAAGATTGCTTGCAGAAGAAGAGAGTAAAGAAGCTGTCCTGAATTATCATTACCACTATAGAGCTTATAAGATTTGGTCAAATGAATTTGGGGAAAAAGACAATTTTGCATCAAAATACTGAAATTTTTCTGGCTCTTTTTTTTTATCTTCCTGCATCTTCAAAAACCAGTGCTCGTAGACTATCCATCACCAAAATGATTAATTAAATGTAAAACTAGTAATTAATTTTAAAAGAAACTGGTTTGTCTTACCCATCAAGCGCCAAAATTTCTGTCCCTAGGTAAGCTGCCTTGAGTATACTTCGCCGGAATATTAGGTTGACGCCTTCCTTATAATACCTGGCCCTAGTTTTGAATTCTGGTGAAGAAGGGTTATTCAGGTCCTCTGAGTATTTATCCCCTTCTAGGACTCTGAAAGATGCCCTGAATTCTTGCTCGCTTCCGGGATGGAGCCTTGTATACGTATCTGAAACAGAAATATTTACATGAAATCAATTTTTGCTTGCGATTATTAGACTGACAACTGAAAAAATTCAATTCAAAATAAACTGAAGTTAGTTAACAATGAAATAACTTTTTTGCGAGAAATTAGAGGTAAGCAAAGGCATTGCCGTACCAAATGAGGTCTTTAGTATTCTTTTAGTATTCGGTAGCATTCTCGGTAGCATTCGGTAGTATTCTTTAGTAGCTTTTAGTATTCGGAATCCGAAGGAAGCACACGATGTGTTGTCTAACTGAATGGGTTGAAGGAGTTCTATGAACTGATGACTATGTTGTGGATAAGAGAGGAGAATTGCATGTTCTACTTTGCACTTCTTTAGGAAATTGACAGGATTATAAAAATCAATATAATATAATCATTAAAAACTGCTCATAGGTGCCCAAGAATTTCATTCAAAATAAACTTTGTCATTTTATCTTGAAGCATTTTAAGTGGCAAAAATTGAAATTTTCATTGATGATTTGAACAGCATGACGGCAAAGAAATGAAAAAAAAAAAAAAAAAAAAAAAAATATTTACGTTACTGTCCCTAACCGTAGCCACCGGGCTGTTCATATGTACACGTATTATTTGTCAATAGCTGCATTTATCTGCTGCGACTGTATTATAAGGTTACGGAAGGCTTTCATTTTTGACATCTTCCCCTCCCCTTTAAATTCTTGAAGTTAGGCCTAGATTCCGCAAAGCCAGACCAAACCTCGACAGTAACAAGGACCCGGATCCCCAAAGATTAGTCAAAGAATCACGACATCACCATTTGACCGATATGAAGGGAAAAGTAACGCCTAGCTTTCTTCGTAACAATCCCAATCCATTATGTTTTAATTGCTTTCAACGGCTACAATTCCACTCGGAGATTGCAGCACTTAACACAGTTTGAACGGTAGCGCACGCAGGCGTACAGCACAATCAGCTGATGATTTGTTAAACGCGCTGTGTCTATACGGCAATTATTGGGCCAACCTCTTTCCGCTTCCCACTTTGGGCCGACAACGCCCCTCTTTGCTCGGTCCTCCTGTGCTTGTTTAGTTAGACCAGTGGCGTGGCGTGAATTGCGATGTATCGATTGTTATGCCGTTTAAACCTATGGAATAGGATCGATAAACAGGGTGTTCGCAGCGAACACCTCAATAATCGATTCTTTATCATGGGTTTAAATGGCATAACAATCGATACATCGCAATTCACGCCACGCCACTGCTGTGCTTGTTTAGTAAGAGTGGCGCTTTGGCGCACGCTTCAATAGCGAGGCGCAAATCTTTTTTTCCCATTTGAAGCTATGTTAAGAATCGATCAGAGCGATACCTCGATAATCGATATTTGTTCATAGGTTTAAATGACAGATCGATCGATTTATTGCAAAGCACGACAAACCGCTCGCACGCTGTTCGGGTCGCGCAGACTCGAGGACCATGATTAATCGCGACTTAAAAACTGTAAATTAAGCTTAATAACCGCAGAAGCAAGCCCCGAGTGAGTAGCTACTCGCTGTTGTCAAATTTCATTCTTATGTTTTTTTTTTTTTTTGGAAATAAAAGATACAAAGATATGGGAAAAGAGGAAAAAATGATGATTATATTGGTCCAATTACTGACATAAATTCGGAAATATTTTATACTAGACTTAGCTCCTTATGGAGTAAATCGTACATTGTATGTCGAGTATACCTACACAGTACATAGCGTCACTTACTTCGGAGATCGTTCTCTTCTACCGATAATTTATGGATTCATTTTGAGCTGAACCACTTTAATAATTCATGAGATAAACTGTCTTCACAATTTTAAAATGATCCAGTATTCTACTCAAACTATTTTCCCGAACGACCGCATTTAGTGCTACACCTTTGATATGATTTTAAAGAAGAGCTAATAATTATTAGTGACACTTATCAATAGCAAGTGACATCTATTGATTGATCTATTGACAAATCTATTGATTAGTGTCACTTATAGTGTCGTTAATAATTATTAAACAACATTTTTCTCGTCAGCCCGCGAGTTTTATATCACTCAACTTATAATTAATCGATGAAGGATAAGCAGTGTGTGTCAAACAAATAGATGGAAGGAAGGAATAAGGTAATTGAGAAGGAACAACAAACTTTAAAACAAGAGAAATCGACATTTTTACATAATTGCTTCAACCGATCAATTTTCAAATTTGCTTTAAAAATCCTTTCGAAATTATTGAATATATCAACAAAAATTTAAAACAAGCTAACATAGACTTCTCGCACAATTCATAAGTTTGAATTTGGCCTTTTCACTGATACATTTTCAATAAAACAAGAAATCCGGCAACAGAGCTATTTGTGCGTATTGTTTAGGCCGCGCGAACGGGCGACATGGCGCTGTCTACTTTCTTTCCCCGGCGTTTGGGTCTCCGCGTGGTTTCGCGGCTGCCGCTGCGGCCCCGAAAATTTAATAGCCCCCCGTGGATCCCCCGGTGGGGGGCTCCGGGGAAAGTACTTAGCGGCCGCATTGGGAGCTGTTTCCGTGCATGATTGTGCGATAAAAACCACCGACTACGAGCGTGCTTCTGTCTTTACTTTGGAAGGACTAATTTGCTCGGTTTTGGGGGGCTAATGTTTACTTAGGAAAGAAAAATATTGTGTTTATTTTTCAACCCACATCACACGGACGTCAAGTTTTCTGGCATGGACTGGAAGTTGCCCATAAATTACGTCTTTTTTTGTTGCTACACTGAAAAAAAAAAAACTCCGGCCGTGGGAGCCGAAATTAAGGGCTATATAGACATACCGTCCGTTCCGGGCTCGAAGGCCGGAAATTCCGGCTGCTGGAGCCGCAGCTTCGGCCTCTGAACCCGGAGCAATCGAAGCTACGCCTCCAGCAGCCGGAATTTTCGACCTTTGAGCCCGGAACGGACGGTATGTCTATATAGCCCGTAATTTCGGCTCCCACGGCCCGAGTTTTTTGTTCAGTGTAAGACCTACACTTCCTTGGCACTTGGATAAAAGAGTATGATAAGCATAACTTCGGTATTGAGAAAAAAAGGGTTTCCCGCAAAAAAAGCTTAGTAAGACAGATAGGTAATTCAAAATTGTTAATAAAAACAAGACGGCTTGGCACTCAAATGATGAATTTCCACTTTAAGGGCACAATTGAGGAGTCAGATGCAAAAACGGCCCGAGCTGGGCTCGGCCGTTTTTGCGGAGAACAACTTTCCGGATTATATGTATTGTCATTATTATGTATCAAAGTTTCAATATTTTATACATTTTTTTCTAAAAGAAAAAAAATTCAACTCTCTTTTTCACTTTTTTCCCCTCTTTTTTTCATGCAAAAAAATATCCAAGTAACCAGCATTTAAACACAAAATGTACTTCTCAAATCAGTCATTCTAAGCGACTATGGCTCAAGTACACCTTTCCTATTTCTGTTATTTTTCATTTCCGACAATATCCCTAGTATTTCAATCGTGCCAACTTAAACTTGAGAATATGAATCACTTTTCTTAAACCTCAGCCAATGCTGTTCCTGATAATGTGACAAACTGGCACCATAATGAAATATTTATTCACTCGCTGTTTTGTGGAACTGCGATTTTGCTATACTCGGGGCGTTTTTGCACCTAAATCTTCAACTGTTTAAAAGGATTAATTGGATCGCATTAAGCAAAAAGGAACAAGCGCGATTACAGTGTTGTATAAATGTTGCTTCTTTATAATTATCTAGAAAATCTCCTAGAATGGCAAATAGTTTTGGCTTCCCACCAAAAAAATTGTAAATTTTAAATAATCTAATTGCGTAAATTTTAATACTGTACATATATTAAGTATTTTTAAAAGAAAAGGAGACGTTGCACGATTTTGAAAACCCTGTTATATCGCTGGTTCCTTTTTGCTAGAAGCGATCCAACTTTCATGTGATGCAAGTGTTGTCATTTCATCAAGATGTACGTTTTTTATTCCATTGAAAGACGGAGAAAAATTAAATGTTGATTTCGCATTTATAATGTTAAAAAAAAGTCCGACAAGTTTCAAATGCTGATTTTACATTTTAACAAATGCTAACGTAACTACTCCCACTGCAAAACGAGCAAATTTGAGAGTTATGTTAGCATTTTTGCAATGTAAAATCAGCATTTGAAATTTGTCGGACATCTTTTTAACAGTATAAATGGTAAATCAACATTTAATTTTTTTCCGTGAAGTGCCAATGTGGCACCCGCGTGGCAGAGCGGAACCGTAGCGTCTATGACTAATGAGTGAATAAGTCAGAACATGTAAGTAGAGCGTTACACTTCCACTATCACCGTGAGCCGGGCTGCTTTAGACACGGACAAACTCACGTGCCTTCCCTCCGTATTCCCCTTTCATTCATATTTTTAACAACACCGCTTTGTATTTCCTTGTTTGGCATCCGACAAACCGACGTTTTATGGCTGTTGCCACCGGCTTAAAAACTGCCTAATGTACGAACCACAAAAAATGTTCCTTTACTTGGCTCGCGGTAGTTCTATCCGCGATGAGTGCTACAGTTTGGTTGGGTTGTAAATTAAGTATTCGGCTTCTTGATGGAGAATGCTATCTTCCTTTTTGTGGGATTGTTACGTATATGGTTTCAATTTAACCCCAAATCGATTTTACGAAAAATAAAAGGGTACAAGTTTAAAAAAATACGTTAAGTATGAATACAGTATGACAAATATAATTGACCCACTGCCAACTGGCATCCATCCATACTGATTTTGGCTGCAGACAGACTTTTGAGTGAAGGTAGTCAAAGTTTACTCAATACTGGGATAATCAATACTGAGTATAGTAAATTCTCCCAGAACTTTAATTACCTCCACCTACAAGTCTGCTTGGGTCTGTTTACCATTTATACTTTTTTCTATGACATGCCTCCTAGAGAGCTGACTATACATATTATGAACCTGAGAATATCAAGTAAGCAGTACCATAATTTTGGAAATGTAACGTTTTAACTATCATTGCG